TGAAGGTTATTGGAACGTTTTCCATCAGTACGTGATATGATCTGTCTTTGATGGATGCGTTGGGAGCGAAATATTCTAGGAAGTTGCTGCGGTTTGTTGGGCTGTTGAACCATTCTGTCGATTCTTTCGAGTTGAGTTCGTACAATACCCCACCGTGAGATAGGCGTCTAGCTGAAATGAAAGTTAGTTCCTCTGGGGTCTTTATGCCGTTTTGGTTCATCAGTTCTAGTGCGGTTGATGCCTTTGCTACCAATTGGGCTTCTGTCAACTCCCTAAGGGAGTTTGCTATCAAGACGGATCTTCTATCGATTAGTATCTGCCTGGATTGAGCTTCACTGCGTGCTAAGAGTTTGGTTAGTGTTAGAGGGATGCCCGCTTTGGCCACTGCGGCGTAAGACAGAGGTCCTTCAGATCTCTCCTTCCCCGAGTTGACCGTAGTATTTTGGACGGTTCTCATTGCAGCGTTCTCGACTATTTTCTCTATGCCCTCGGATGAGTTATTGAGCTGATTGCGTACCTCTGATACCACTTTGTCCATTGAGACTTTGTGCGTCGATGCTATATCTGCCAACACATCGACCTTTTCGTCTAGAAGGGCGATCGGGCCGTTAATTAAGGCTTCTATGCGATCTAATACCTTAACCATATCGGTAGCTTGTTCGGCCTCGTGTAAAATGATGGCTAAGGCCCGCAGTATTTCCGCATTGGTTGCGCCTATGTTGATTGCCGAGATACTAAGTTCGAACATTGCAGCTGCGATGTCGCTAAGCGCTTTTCCTGCCACTGGAAGGGTTAAGCCGTGCGTGTTGAGCAACTTTCTAGCTGTGCTTGACGTGGTGACATCGGTGCAGATTCCTGTTCCTGCTACATGGTCCTCGATACTTTTGCTTGTTGACAGTAGTGGTTTACTTGCTGTGGTGCTTCTGTGGGCTCTTGTTGGAGCGAAAGACGCCGAGGGTTGGGCACTGGCTCCGGTTGGAGCCATTGCTATTATTTGGATTGTTTTCTTGTATTCTTGGGTGAATTGGGAAGGGCGGGACGCCGTTGGGCGTTGGGAGCGCTGTTGAGCGCTGTGTTGGGTGTTGGTTTTTCGGGGTCCTGATCGGGGGTGCCACTTGGTAAGGGTCCAAGAAGCGATCTCCTGTGAGCTTTTGCAATGGAAGTGCCAAGGTGTCACTTTCGTCGCTTAATGGATGATCTCACGAGGAGGTCAATTGCAAGTCGGTACCGGAGGTATGGTTCAAACGAGCTGCAGTCAGAACTGGCTTGGAGTCACGAGTCACTGATTTGATAAATCAAGGATCTTATCAGGCCATCATGAACTGCAAACGTTGGTCGCATACAAAGTCGAGGAATGATCGACCATCCCGTGACTTCTTTTGCAATGGAAGTGCCAGGGTGCCATACCATTTTCATCATAATGGCTAACCGAGGTGGTCGGTTGCAATTCAATAAGTTCTGTATACAGCAAATATGGCTCAAACAGTCGGCGTGATTCAGGGATGCATGTAATGCTTGACAGGATTGCCATCAAAATATTAGGCAGGCCGCGCCTGCACAAGTTAGACGACACTGTCCATCGGGTCATAACTTCCTTGTAATGGAAGTGCCAAGGATCCATCAACATCATAATCATTCTCGGGGAGGTGGTGCTTACTTGTAAGGATATCTAGTCCAAATCAGCTACATGATTAATATTCAGGGGTTATAGTTCGAGTGCCCACCGCCGACAATTGAATGGGGTGGATATAACTTTACGTCCGTGGCGCATCTGAATTATGGGGCACATACATGATTGCGTACGTACGTCGTACTTGATTTACTCACTTGAGGCCTTGAGATCCATGTCGCGGATCTCTGGGAGTGATTAATGGCTGGGTCTGAAGTAGAGGTTATAAAGGTAGGGCAGTCAAAATCACTGGCCTTATCAACTCGACCAACTCACAAAGTCTTTCCATCTCTGCATTACTCAGTATACACGCTGGTCATGGCTAGTCCCCCACCCTTTCCTGACGCAGGTGTTTACAAGATTTGCACCGTCCTAAAGAGAATGGAAATCCTTACTTTTGTGGCCTTCGAAGACGAGCCTGGAGCAAGGCTTAAGCCACATGATGGCGTCGACTCGTTATCCCAAATCAATGCCTATGTAAGCCAAGGAACTTCAAGACCTACCTCACCCTGAGCGTTAACGCCACGACTGGTGGAACCTGAGTTATGCTAATAAAGTGGACAAGGAGTGTGGAGTATGCACCATTACCATGGCCGCAGGTAACAAAAAATTCGCACTAGGTGTGGGTAGCATTGAGGAGGCAGGTGGTCAACTGTAAGATTGAAAACACTGCTCAGACAAAGTCTCTAGGGACAGGAAGTTATCACCGTATCGACCCCGCAGCGCTGGTATCTCGAAATGACTAGCAGCGGTAATTGCTGGTGAGAGACAATGATCCTTCTAATTCTCGTGCTCAATGCTCGAGGATGGCAGCATCAGTCAAGTCGATCCCGAGTCGAAAGACCACTACCTTTGGGAGAACTGTAACGATCGGGTGCGCACATTTCTCATTGTCCAAGAAGTTTCCTTGTTTAATTCAGTGCAGGTCGAGATCCGTCCTTGGAACAAGGAGAGTAAACAGGTCTGGCACTTCATGGGGCTGCGCGCTGAGGAACGGAAAGCTCTTGACGAGGCACAGAAATCTGACACTGTTGCTGATGAATAGAGCTCAGTTTAAATCAAGAACGCTTCGCTTCGAGAGCAACTCAATTGAATACAGCTTCAAGTTGGTTTGCTAGTAGTCTCCCTCGTTCCTTGTATACTAGTGCTTCTGATTTGTGTCTTCAAATGGCGATTGGGCGAGCAAATTTGTATAATCGCGCAGCAAGATCAAGTGTATACTGGCACAATCAGCGTTATTCTTGAATGAAGGCAGAACACTAACTCGATGAGGAGCGGAAAGCTTTCAGCGAGGCACAGCAATTTTTTACCGAAAAAGAGATATCTGAGACTGTTGCCGTTGAAAGCCAAGGGTTTAGTAGGGCGGACAGTGCTCTCTGGCTTGATGCTCCACTGTCGAAGGTTTAGGGTCATTTGTGCATCAAGGTCCGTCTCTAATCTGATACCTTTAAACTTCAATGGTACAGGTACTGTAAGGTGTGTTCAACCCAAGCCAGGTTTTGCTTAAGACGTTGATCGACACAAGTTGCGTTAGATCTCGCTGGATTATTTAGAAAATCTCCCGTGTGTTGTTTTACATGCTAGCATTTCGGTAAACTGATTATACAACAACTATCAGCGTTCAGAAACAAAACAAATACATGACGCAAGCATCTGCATCCTAGTGCTTAACCTGGTAGCTGGAATTGCCAGCCTTGTGTGTTGTCTTTCGTGATCACGATCTGCACTGGGTTAAGCAGAGACACTTTACGAAAAAAGGGAAGTGCACGCACTGGATCGCCTTCGTTGCCGATATACCAATTGTAATGATTTCCATCATCAGAGGCCAGGAAGATCCTGTAGCACTTGAGCTTGGGCACGAAGAGTTAAAACAAGGATGGTCGTCGCTCACTTGAATGTGCAGTCTTCAATCTCCCCGAGGTACCAGGACTTCCCGGAGGCGAGGGAATAGACAGGTTGATTCTGTAGACGGTGTCTAAGGAGCTATTTTAATCTTCAAGTATACCACCTACGTCGCCGACAGAATTCACGTTCAATGAGCGATCACTCTGGCTTGCCATGGTGAGCAATGCACGTGGTCATCGCCAGACTCATTATGATCAATATTCAGAATCCACTACTCTTGCCGTGAGCTCTCATGGTGGTAGGATGATCCGAAAGTCATTCAGCTTACCTTTTGGTCGTACTGGTCGGGATCGAGGGGTGCTCCCCGAAGTACGTTTTCGCCGTGGCGGACGCTGGCGTAACAACCCAGCTGTCTAGAAAAGATGTAGTATGTCCCAGATGGAGGATGATTCATAGCGGATGATGCAGAGACGGTAAGAATTTGGTGAAATAGTGTGATGAAGCTGGTGGGTCTTGATCGTCTACCTTTATACCCCTGATTTAGACCCAGCAATCCAATCTCTCTCCGATTGTATGAAGTCGAGGCAGATTCTTGTATGTGTGACTCTTGCCGTTCCGGTAACTGATGAACCGGCCGAGACTATTGTTCGCCGTTCAATGGCATAAGGGGTACAATATTTGCTCCAACATTCTGTCAAAACGAGGAGGAGCCAACTGGAAACGAAAGTCTTACCGAAAGTATAGATGGACTATAATTTCCGCCCCTTTACATAAATGATAAAGAGGCCACCGGAAGTTGGAACATTCTGTCGAAGCGAGGAAGAGCGAATAGAAGCGAAAGACGAGTTCCCTGCAGTTATCACTCTCCGGGATCTACTGTCATCTTAATACCCGGTTCCTTCGAGTAATTTCAAACCCTGAGAAAATTCAAAGTCCGAACACCCAACGCTCGCAACACAGAGCAGGCAAGACGGTAGTGTTGTGGGGAGAACTGGCAGAACATGGCAGAACTAGGGTTGTGCCACGGCAAAACCAGGCAAAGGTGAATTTTTTGTCGACCACAAGAAACCATTGGTTGACATTAATGATGCAACGTCCCAGCCACCCTCCTCGCCTCTCGCACCACGATCAATCACCGAGAGCTCCTCATCGATGGATTTCGGCATAACGGACGGAACAAGAGACGCACATCCCCCAGCGCAGAAATATAGGTTGACGGAGGCGATGAAGGTGATTGTGTGGCAGCTTGACGGTTGAATATACGTTGAATTCATTATTCAGGTCAATTATCACGAGAAGGTGCGTTGTCATTGTTTTCACCTTCGTCCTCGTGATGTTCCTCATCTCGCTCATCGAACCCCTATACTGACGACAAACACCCAGTGAGCTCCCTAAAGAAGAGATACGAGAAAGAGACGATGGAGCAAAAGAACTGAGCTGATGACTCGGATGGGCTTTGGCTTTTATTTTATTCGGTCATATCATCTTAGGAGTGTTTTTTGTGGTTGGTATTCGTTACTTCAGGACCCACTTTTGCTTTGAGTGTGAGTGATATCAGGACCTTTTCCCAGTCATAAACTTTCGCAGCAAAATCTGGATATATCCTTCCCTTTAAATATAAGGCCAAAGATAACAATGTGATTCTCGTTCTTGTGAGTATGTCCTATATATACCCTTCTAAAACCTTCACCGGTTCACTGATGTACATTGCTCCAGCGCAAGAAGCCCCATTCCTGGTACGGTGTTTGGCCTTTGTACGAGATATAGATCTGCGCTATATTAAGCAGAGACATTTTAGGAACAAGGAATTGCACGCACCGGATTGCCTGTTTCTTCACGTTGGACGCTCCAAACCAATTCGTTGCCAGCGCCACCGTCATCATCACGCTGGTAGATACTGCAACCCGTGAGCATCAGCACGAAAGGTTAAAACAAAGATATGATCATCTCTCACATGTATCTGTTAGTTTGGCCTTCAACTTACTTGATGAGCCAGCGCTGGGGGTCGGAGGACCGAGGGAAGCCCACAACATTCTCGTCCTACGAGTGGTGTCCAAGCAGCAACTTCGGTTTTACGGTAGACCACTAACGTGTTGAAGGGCATTTACACCCAATGTGCGAGAATTGCCGCCCATATCCTCAGTGAGAACGCAGTACCTCTCAGGGTTGTTGCCATCAGGTTCAATATGGGTTAGGCGCCACTAAACTTAATGTGAGCGCTCAGGACAGCAGGAGAATAATTATGTCTTTCAGCTTACATATTGGCGATAGGAGCCACTTGTGTCGAAGGCATGTCCACAAAGCGGTCCCCCATCCCTGGGGAGACTAGCGAGCAGACCCGGTCCGGGCATCACGATGAAATAGACGCCAGGTTCAGGTGAAGTCATGGTGGAAGATTGCATGAATTTGTGAGTACGGATGTATACGGATGATCATGAAATATTAATCTCCTACCTTTTTACTTGTGATTCAGACGCCGCATTTATGGTAAGTACCCTGTATCACTCGGACCTCATCTCGGTTCCTTCAAACCCTGAGCAAACAAAGTTCGAGCCTCTGTAACGGCACTCACTGAGTCACAACGAACAGACCCCTGGCAGGCTCTACATATACTCCACATGTTCACTTCAGCAGCCAGCTGAATATTGCAGCCATTACCGAGCGGTGTCACCTGAATCAACATATCCTCACTCGTGCCCCGCAATATGATCTTTCGTACCTTCAGCTTTTGTTTGTCTTTCTCTCGTTTCTCTTTAGTTATCATCTTTCGCGAGTCGTTGCTGATACTGCGGAGTTTGTATTTCCCAGTCGCTCTTCCTCGCTTTGACAGAATGTTCAGGTAAACGTCGCACCTCTTACGCTATTCAACGGCGAACTTGAATAGTCCCGACCGGTTCATGAGCCGCACATACTGCTGCCCCGCACCTCACTGAGGCTTCCTTTTAGAGGTCACGGCATCTGTAAACAATATGATGTTGAACGACCCTTCTCTTCTGATCTCTCTTTCTGAGCAGTGATAGTTGGAATCTTCCGGCAACCTCTTTAAAGGGGCCGGAATTATAGCATGTATACTTCCGGTAAGTCATTCGCTTCCACTTACTCTTCCTCGCTTTGACAGAATGCTCAGGTAAACGTGGTACCCCTTAGGCCATTGAACGGCGAACGATAGTCCCGGCCGGTTCATCAAGTATGGGGATGACGAGAGTCACGCGCACAAACTTCTGCCTCGAGTTCACACAATCAGAGAGAGTGATTGAATTGCTGGGTCTGAATTACGGGTATAAAGGTAGGACAATCAAGACCACTAAGTTCATCACCCTATCAAACCAAATTCTTACCATCTCTGCATCATCCACTATGACTTATCCTAAAGATGGCCTCTATTACATCAAGAGTTCTAGCAACTTGGGTTGTTACGCCAGCATCCGCTACGGCGAAGACGTACTTTGCGGAGTGCGCATCAATCCCATGGAGTACTCCCAGAAGGTAAGCTGAAGGACTTTCAGATCATCCTGCCACCCAGAGAGCTTACAGCAAGACTATGTAGTGGCGCCTGACCCAAGTCAACCAGTCAGATGCTAGCGGCCGCCCTCAGTTCTTCTGCGCTCTCACCAAGGAGGAGGATAATGGCTCATTGGGCGTGAAAGCTATCAAAAACGTAGGCGATCTACTGTAAGATTAAAATTGCTCCTTAGACAACTCCTGCAGTCCGAACCTGTCTATTCCATCACCGGCTCGCATTCCTGGTTCCTCAGGCAGAATGAAGAGGGTTACACGTGAGCGACGACCATCCTTGTTTTAACCCTTCGTGCTCAAGCTCACGTGTCACAGGATCGGCCTGATCGCGCATGAAAACGCGAATGAAATTGAGTACACTTGGTGCCTCGGCAATGACTACGAGCCGGTGCGTGCACATCCCTTTTTCGTAAAGTGTCTCTGCTTAACCAGCGCAGATCGTGATCAGCATGCGGGGCTTCGTTGATCCCCAGATCTGGCAATTCGTGTCCGCAGAATAAGCGCTGGGATGCAGATACTCGCGTCATGTACTTGTTTTATTTTTGAAATCGGATAGTTGTTGTACCATCAGTTTACGCAAATGCTAGCATGTAAAGCAGTGCCGATTTTTTTGACTTCACTCGGTTTTCAATTGCCATTGAGAAAAAAATACGGTTACTAGGTACATTATACAGGAAACATTCTAAATGATCCAGCGAGATCGAACGCAACTTGTATCTAAACGTCTTAAACATATTCAGAATCTGGCTTGAGTACGACGCACGTTGCAAACGTTGCCTACACATGGTAAAGAATACGAGGGAGTAGAAGTCATGCTGAAATAAGTGTAAGCAAGCAATGTAATGATCTACGAATGAACCGATCAAAAATCAGGAAATTGAAATTGAAAATGCTCGAAACAAGAAATCAGTGGGCTGTTTGATTTGGTATATCACAGGCCCGGTGTATCTTTTGCGTTTTCCAATCGGACGACCCGGACATTGCAAATCTATTCGCAGCGCTTCGTCTATTCCCTCTACAGCCGATTCCTTCGACATGCCACTTGCAGGCTATAAGGCATCACACTGGCTATGTATGCGAGCAGCGGTGCAGAAAATTGGCAGTTGAATGTGATACAGGTCAGTATATAGTGATATGGATGGTCAGTGGGACTTGAGTCAATAAGGCGCGGGCGAGGTGAGTTTGGGAGCTCACGCTGACAGCCCGTTGACTGAGGGGGTACCGGGTAAGGACGATGCATAGATTGACACTACAATGTAGTGCAACCTCTAGTCGGACGTTACAGTATTCGACGACACGATGGATGAATTGATTGATTGTACAGATCCTTAGAATTTAAGTTTGCTTCACGTTCAGCTTGACTACACCAGACGGTCGTTTCTCAGCCACCATCACATTACTCACCTCGACTCCATTCGATCAACAGAACCCACAGCACCACTCCTACCCACCCTGCGCAAACATCTTGAACCAATCCCTTCCAGCCTCCCACGAAACCCTCGCAGCTTCAACCCCCTCGATCGGATGCGTCTCTCCTGCAAAGGATAACATCTCCACTCTCCCGTCTTTCCCATCCTTCCCGTTCTCATTCCCAACCGCACTCGCACTCCCGTCAATCCCATGGTCGCTCCCAACCGCACTCCCACTCACACTCCCCCGCCCCTTAATAGCATGGTAAAACCCAATCCCCTGCGCCGGACACACCCTCAAATCATCCTCTCCTATCAATATCAACACAGGCGCGGTTATTTTGTGGACGTGAGCGATTGGGGATGCGGTGAAAAGGGTATGGTAGGTTGAGGGGGTCATTAATGTGGGGGTGGGTGGCGTGGGGGAATCGGATGTGGGTAACGCGGGGGAATCGAGCGCAGGTGACACGAGAGAGTTGAACGTGGACGCGATCCCGAATTCAGAGTAAGCCCAATCAGGAATATCAGTCCCTGATGCGAGTTCGCCTACTGAGATGACGGGGTTGCGGAGCGTTGCTGCGTTGAATAGGGTTGGGTGTTGGCCTATCACTATACGTGCGGTGTCAACGTCAACGTCAAAGTCAAGCGTAATTGTTAGGATGAGTTGCGAATTGCGAGCGTGAATTGTGAGCATGAACAGTCAGAGGGTATTTTGTTTTAGAGTAGAACGCAAAGGCAAAAAAGGGCAAAGTCTGAGCACTCACGATGCGCAGCAATAAACCCTCCATGACTCCCCCCCTGCACGACCTGTCTTCCCTCCTCCGAGATACCGAGTCTCACGAGCTCCTTCACGCTTTCAAAGACATCTTCAACGTCCATGCTCCCGCAGTGGCCGAGGAGCTTTTGTATGTAGTTTTGGCCGAATCCCATGGAGCCTGTATAGTTGGGGAGGTTGAGAGTGTCTGTGTGTGGGCGATGAGTGAGTGATCAAAGTTTGTAGTTGTGTGGTGTGGAAGTCATAGTTTGGTCTGGGACTTGGAAGAAGAAAGATAGAGAGACAGACGTACATCCTTCAAGCGCAAGCGCAGCACCACCCGGAACAAACGCACTAGTCGACGTCGCATGTGGTCCTCCATGGGGTATAGTCAGGCACACGGGTTTCGGGCCGCTCCCACTCGTTAAAGTCTTGGATCGGATGACGAGTGTTTCTGTAGGATAACGTGTCGTGATGGGTATGAAGGATGATGTGAGGCCGTCGAGCGCTTCCTTGGCTGAAACCTCGAGAGTCAGACTTGAACAGAACGAGCAGTGATTTGGATTGGACGTACTCGTAGAAGACAATATCGGCTTATCTAGAATTTTCCACTCGAGGGTGTCATCTTGATCAAAGGATCCCAGTAAGACCTCCCACGGGGTAGTAGGCGTGCTCCTCGAGCATATGAAACGACTCTTGTTGTCTGTAGCATGTACAGTCCAGCTGTACAATGGTCCGTCGCCTAATTCGGTTGCGTTTGTAACCGCTCCTGATTGGGTATCGATGAAGAGGACGGTGGTGCGTGAGCGCCATATGGATTGGAGAACTATGTATGTGCGGTCTGCGCGATGTAAGAAGGGGCTAGAGGGCATGTTGTACTCAGGGTATAAACCTGGAAAGTCATTCGAAGTGGTAGGTTCCATGATAGTGTCCACGAGGACGTGGTTAATGCCTGTAACGAGGTCGCGGAATTCGAGAGAGACGCAGGATGCATGGGCGCCGCCTATGGGGTTTGAGAACCAGAAGAGTTTGATGGGGGTGTGATTAGCATCGTATAGGACGCGAGGGGAGCGGCAGGATCGGTTTGGGGAAGTGAGCTTTGATGCGGTGCATGTGAGTTTAGTCCCTAGAGGTGAGGGTTGGAGGGTGGGGATGAGCTGCCATATACCCATGGGACGGTTGAAGCAGCCTTTGACGCCGAGAAGACGTCCGTCTTTGGTGTGTTCGTATCCGCTTGCGAAGATGGTGTCTTCTGATGCGAAGGTAGCTTGGGCGAATAAGACGGGGACCTGGGTAAGCTGGAGAGCGAAAAGAGAAATGTTTTCTTTAGTAGCCCTTGTGGAGGCGGGGGATCTGGTCCAGCGGAATAAAAAGACGGTGGGACGTTTCTTTGTGCGGGATGGTTCACCAAAGTGAGGTGTATATCTAAATTTGCTGTAAGGATCGTCATCGGTGCTGAGGCTTGCTTCTGCTGTGTATAAAAGGGAAGTTTCTGACGGGGAGAAGGAGAAAGAGGATAGGAAATCTGGGATTTGATTAGTGGGTGTTCGTTGATCTTTACTCTGCTCACCATCTGTGAGGAACGCTTGGTGGTGCTTTGTGACATCTAAGGAAGCTTCTAATTGGGTGCCAGCCCAGATCTCGACGAATCGATTGGTATTAGCGACCTCCCGGAGGATTGCTTGACGAGATTTGGAAGGAGATATTGTGAACGCTTTTACTTCGGATGAATCATGGGAAGTCGTTTGATTGTCGAGGGTGAACGTCTTTGTGAGTGATCGTTTGACGTTACGTTCATGATCGCGAACAGAATATGTGACGCGTGCAACTGGACAGGGCGTCAATCAGTGATATCTGACCATGTAGGTGTACACACCATCGCCGATGAAACCAGCAGATACGGGAAGGGGCAGTTCTGCTAGTTCTGTGTAAAACGTTGACGAACCGGTATATTGGAGTAATGTCATTGCACGTGACTGTCTCAAGTTAAGTTGACCTCCACTACGAAGTGGGGCAGGAGGAGAACATCTCAGCTGGGAAATGCCGAATGATTTGCACACAGTTTGAAACAGGCAATTTCCTTATATTCCCCGCACTTGTCATGGTATGTTGAACGAAAGCTGGAGGGTTTCAAGGTGCGTCTGCTGCCTCAAGTCCATCGAGTTCGAAGGCTACTTTCCGCTAACAGCCAGGTCTTTTCAGAGATCTAATTCATCAGCCACCGGCTGGAGTTGCTGATGTTGTCAGATATGTTCTATGAGTGTAACTCTGACATGACAATAAATGCGATTGTTTTTAACAAAAAATGATGCTAGTTGAGCTGTCAACGGATCAGCAATGTGTTCGGTGAGTGTAGCTCAAGGTCGGTGGAGGATGAATATATTGACGTTCTGTCGATAGATTCGAAATTTCTCGAGTTAGTAAGACTCGAACTCGACACGTCAACGGGCAATGACCTAAATCAGCAAGGCTCGAGCTCAAAAGAGGATCAAACACACTTACCTCCTGCAAACAGTGGGCAATGACTTCAGTCAGAAAGGCTCGAACTTGACAAAGTATCACTTCACTCGGTTTCAAAAAAAAGTGTAGGATGGCGAATGTCACCCTTACCGGTCATACCAGGCTGATGGAGGCGGTCGGTCGCGCGGGAAAGGGAATGTCAATAAACAAGGATGAGTAAAAAAAATGAATAAAAGTTTTCTGCACATCATACATGCATTAATCAAAGCGTAATCGTATGAACCATTGAATCTCTGCGCAACGCTCGTGTATACATGCGATTGCGTCTACCGAATCATCATCGATGCATCCATCATCATCTTCGTTTCCGTCCAGAAGTGGCTCTTTGCTCGTCCCTGCCAAAAGAGTTCAGCCGAGTACAAATTAACTTTTGGAAATTACTCGTACCTACATGACAAGGACCGCCATCCTTATCACCCAAAACTTCACTATCCATCAAGTGCAAGATTGTCTTAATGTGTCCGTAAGTAACTGGCTGTGCTCCCTTCGGATGGTGGCGAGCAGCCAATGTGAAGACGACGGCAACGACAAGAAGACCGAGCGCTAAATAAAATATCTATCCACAATCAGATGGCTGCGCTGACTCATAGAAGAAAATGTAAAACCTGGGCGAAGTAAAAGCTAAGGCCTCCGTAGTAAAAGTATCCCGACAATATCACATCTATACTGGTCACTGATACGCCGACCCATATCTCGACAGCGAGACCAAACATCCAATATGGTGGTGATGGGAATGAGTGAAGGCATGTACAATACATCATAGAGCATATACTCACGAAGGATTGGCTTTGCGAAGAGCAGTACGGCGTACAGCCAGTTGTCAAGGCAGAACGCATAAAGCCAAGACCGAGAAGAAGAATTGGTTCCGCCCTTTGGTACTCGTCGTCTCCACAATCTCTCGTCTCGTATTACACCTGCAACAAGTTCCGCGCAGTGGAGCCCAAAGGTGAGGCCACCTTGAGTAACCACCATGACTGCGTACAATGAAAACCACGTGGTAAAAGAGGTGGCATCACCGCCAACGGAGTCACCCACACTTGCTTGAGCAAGCTCACTAGGGATGAACTGCCATGAGGGATATGGGTTTGGGACAAACCGCCAGACCCAGGTGCCCTAGATCGAGCATGCGAAGGCCAAGCCCCACAAAAGACACACCGATACCCTTACGCCCCTACGAGTATCCCACGCAGACGGTTGGCGATCCAGGGAGGTTCTTGAACCTATGGATGTGCAACCAGCACACGTACACGCGTAGCTGTCTGGAAAGGAGTAATATTTCTCTAAAGATCGATGGTCATGCATAGAAAGAAGTGCTGGTATAGTGTCGCAAGGGGAAGTACTCCAGGTGAGGATCTGCGCATTCCGCAGTGCAAAGAGCGAGATGCATGTCTGGAGCAACATGCAGATGCCGAGGACAATGGCTGGGATCGCCTGTACTCCGCATTCCAAAATGCCGGAGTCGTAATCGAAAATCTGTTGATAGAAGAAAGAGCTGGATGCATAGGAAAGGATGAGCAAGATTGTCATTATGGCATTGATGGCGGCAGAGTTCATCGACTTTTCATCAGATCCGGTCAGAAGACGCAGATTTGAGTTGTACTGGGCCCGGTATTCTTGAAATAGTGCGAATCGCAAGCTGGTCGAGTGCATTACCCCAGCACATTCAGTGCAGAATGTAACGACTACATTCAGTCCTATGCTGAGTACTTCATGGGGCGCATGGCATGTGAAGTACATGAGGCCATGAGCGCGATGTTGAGATAACGAGATGATCCAGATTCCAACGCCAGTGAAGAGGATACCAAGGCTGAAAATGACGGAGATCAATGACCCAAAGATCACGATCCTCCGGGTGAATGAGCCCTTGTCAAATATCTCAACCGTATTTGGCTCAGAAAATTGGCAGCAGAGGGTGTGGTCATCAGACATGATACGACTAGCGGTAGATATGATACTTACCATTTTATATTGCCATTATATGCATGACACGGGGCGCAAGATCAAGCAAGCATTTGGGTATGCATGCATGATCCATGAGGCGAAAGGTACATTACGCAAATATTGGTGGCACTGACAAATATTGTATGGCACATCAGCCTTCTGGTTTATCATCATCGTGGGGATCACACGCCTATCACTGGCATCTCACCTTCGAAAAAGCGCGCGTCTAAAACGTCAGGGTTGATGAAAAGAGGTGGAGCTTTTCTTGTAGAAACGTAGTTCCCTCCAACTTGAGTGGTTGCGTGTTTCAAGGACTAATGGTGTTTCAAACGCCAGGTTTTTCAGGTGCAAGCCCGAAGAAACAGGCTTCAACGACCAGCACAATGAGCACACGTAAATCTCCAAATCAAATTCGTGATGCGGTGTATCGATGTCAGGCTGAGCGCTTCTTGCGTGACTTTGTTAAGGGTGCAATGTGAATGGTTGGGCAGCTGCGCCGCATGCAGGGCGAGTCAAGGGTCATACATTGATCAAACTCTCCTGGGAAGGGTGTCCTAGATGTTCAGTACACGAGTTGTTCATTTGCCAACAAGCGCGCAGATTCCAGAAAACAATACTTGTACTTACGCCTGCTCTGGCGCTTGCCAATCGGACCTCGCCGTCGATTAGCAGCCTGCCAGTGAATATTGGAAGAGGCCGCAGGATTAGACACCGGGCAGGGCAGGGAGATTTAGGCAAGGGGCTATGAGAGCATTGCAATTGGACGCGTGCGGGTTTTGATATAGTCAAGTATTAAACAGTAGAGCAAAATACTTAACGTTGCCACTCTCCGTATTCACCACCTCTCTAGTTCTCTCTCTCCTTGCCGAGCGGTGGGTATTCGCGAGCTTAATTCTCAACAGGTCGTGCACCCCCTTTGCCGAAAGGTACGGCGCGTACGCTCCTCGCCCATAATTCGACACTTTGATGGGTGCTTCCAGAGGGGGTGCTGGTAGCGCTTGATGTAATGTTCATCCACCCAAAAAGACAGCCTAAACAGAGCCTAAGTCAAAGCGAACATCTCGGAGGAGTCCTGGGGTCCGGCCCTGCGAATGCCGTGAATGTGTTTATTGACCTGAGTGATAGGAGCCCGCAGCAAGAACGAACATCAAGGGACGAGATGACACCGAGGGGTTGCGAGGGCGTTTAAAGGTGCACTATATTAGCCTCTGTCAGGAAAGGAAATGGAGTTAGTTAATCTTCGTCAGGAGAAGACAATGGCTTGTACATACTTGACGCCCGCACGCCTCGTTCCCCGGCACACACACCCTCTTACTTCCGCAAGTCAGCCTCGACAGCCGAAATGGGCGGATATTGCATCAACGGTCGCACGCGATACCTCTAAGCTGAGTGAAGTGAAGCGAAATGAAGTGATTAAGGTTTGGAGTTTGAAAGTCGATCCAAACCAGCGGAAAGGTGGATGTTTCATTGTGCGGGAAGGTTCGCCAAAGTAAGGTGCATATTTGAATTTGATGTATGGATCTTCATCGGCGCCGAGGAAGGGAGGTACCGGCACAGAGTAGGCGTTGCACCAGTGGCTCAGTAAAGCTGGGCTGTCCGTTCCTGCAGGAAACGATCTGCTGTGTATAAAAGGAATGTTTCTGATAGGAACTGGAAGGAGAGCGATGATAGGAAAAATGGGATTTGGTTATAAACCTGAGACACGGACTTTTATTTGGCTGTGTTCCAGGTATTGGTGGATTTTGATGAGCCTTTACTATGCTCACTATCTGTGAGGAAAGCTTGGTAGTGTTTTGTGATAATCTAAGGAAGATTCTTGTGAGCCAGCCCAGATTTCGATGAATCGATTGCGACATTGTGAATACCTTTACTACGGAGGTTTTGTTAGGATGTGAGATATCGTTACGTTCGTGATTGCGAACGCCGTTAACATTAGTTCGAAGATGCTCATTGCGCGGAATAGTGAGAGAAGGGACTTTATATGGTTGATACGAAGAGCTTGGAAGTGGGGTAGGAGGAGAACGGGAAATGCCGAAGGGTGTGGGAAATGATTACGTGATGTTCATGTGGTTGCGTATGTACGGGTTTCGCTGTTGATTGCGATTTTGTTCGCACTTGGAGGGTTGAAAGATGATGAGAGTAGTGGAGCAGAGACGTTCCTTTTTAGGAAATAACATCCTCATCTCCTCGTACCCATCCACGCATGTCTGAAGACGTAGTAATGCAAGATTTAGACAACAACACTCGTGAAGACAACCCACCTCCAACAAAGAAATTAAAATCCTCATCAACACCGTCAACGTCGTCCTTCAAGCCAAAGTCAAAGGCACAACGTCCTCGTTCACCGTCACCAACCCCGCCGCCACCACCACCACCCCCTCTACAAACTATCAGACTAGAAATTACACTAGGAGGTCCAGATAATTATGAAGTCGATATTGCTGCAAGAGCAAAAAAAACAGGTCAACGTCAACCAACTCCACCTCCTCCAAAACCAGACACTTCAGAAAGCGAAGGAGAAGACGACCAAGAACCAAAAAAGAAAAAGGTAATCCACACCGCAACCCACTTTCGATCCAACGCTGAGTAAAGGGGCAATCCCCAGAAAAAACATGCTACTTCAGAGTATTACGACGTAAACGACCCTTTTATCGACGACTCCGAGTTGAACATCGATAATCGCACTCATTTCGCTCAAACAAAGCAGCAGGGCTTTTACGTCTCAAGTGGAGAAGTCGCACTTATGAAAGATAGGTATGCACCCAATTTCATTTCATATCCTTGTTCTCATATTGTATGCGCAGCAGGTCCCCCAAGAAACCGAAATCGAAAAAGCTCCCTGCTGAGGCAACGGCCGGACCAAGTAAAGCTGTTGGCAGGGAAGAGGGCACGAAGGAACATCCTATCAGTCTGCTAGGCGAAGACAAGGCAAACAAGAAACGCAAGAATTATACAGTCGTAGAAGAGAACGGCAAGAAGAGAAAAGTCGTCGATATCGTACGTCATTCCAACCCACTTCATCCATCCCTTATCCTCACTCCCACCAGCGCGACTTTCATCCCGAACTTCAACTAGCCATCGAAGACCTCAAAGCTGCCATATCCAAAGGTACCTACATCCCACTACCAACCCTCCCAGCACTCACGTTGTCATAGAATCATGGGACGTCAAGGGCAAGTTCCCACCCTCCGTAAAGCCCATACTCGCAGACGTCGCTCTCAAAGCTGTCAACCTCGGCGAATACGATGATGACTTTTTCAATCTCATGCCCGTCTTGTTTCCGTATAACCGCTTCACCATGACCGTACGTTTTGTGTCTCGTAGCTCTCTTTCAACCCTCACGCTCACATCATGCCACACAGAAACTCATCAAACGCACCATATTCACAGACCACCTCAAGATCTTGACGGATAGACAAGATGAGCTGCTTCAACAGCTCGCGGTGCTTACGAAAGAGGGGTTCTCGAAGGCGCAGGAGGAGTGGGAGAAGAGCGTTGTTGCTTGGGGTGCGTCTCCTTACTCTTTATCGACCTTTTCTCTTTATTCATTCGCCTATTCATTTACTCCTGTTATCATACACTATTCAACCTCATCGTTGACACCCCACCTCCCACAGAACGCCGTAAAGAGAAAGCCAAGAATGAAAGCGAAGCAGGCGGAGCATCAGCCTCAACGCCTAGTGCCAGCGTTGACGCAGCACACCACGACGACGGTGCAGGGAGTGGTGTTGATGGTGATAACCGCGGTGGTGATGGTGATAGAACCCTTCCAGATGCCGACGGTGATAACGCCCGCGGTGCAGACGGCGACAACGCTCGCGGTACAGACGGTGCCGGGACCGATGGCGACAACGCCCCAGGAGCCGGAGCCGGAGCAGCAGGCAAGACGGACGGAACGAGAGACGCGCATCCTCCGGCGCAGAAATATAGGTTGACGGAGGCGATGAAGGTGATTGTGTGGCAGCTTGTGATGCTTAGTAATGAGTGCTGTAGGCTTGAGAACGAGAAGAAGTGAGTGCGATTTTTTTTGGGGGGGTTTCTTGTTTTTTTTTCCCTCTCTTTTTTGTGGGTGTTCGTTGGTCTCTTTTTGTTGGGGGTGTTATTCCTTGCTTTCTTCCTTCCTTTTTTCTTCTTGTTTTTGTGGAAGAGATGTTGGGCTGACGTAGATGAAATAGTGAGTTAGACGGGAGTAATGCGCTTGTTAGCGAACAGGGGTCGAGAAAGATTTTGTATCAGAAGGTGTGTCTTCTTTCTTGAGGAGTATGGGACATGGCTTATGGTGTTGGGGCGGTGGTGGTGTGTAGATTGTGGCGGCTTTCCCTAGTGGATGGTTGAATTCGGGTCAGTTATCACGAGAAGGTGCGTTATTGTCGTTTTCATCTTCATCTTCGTCCGAGTGATGTTCCCCTCATCTCCCTCATCGAACCTCTATACTAACGACAAACATCCAGTGAGCTCCCTCAAGAAGAAATATGAGAAAGAGACGATGGAGCAAGAGAACTGAGGACGGGCTTTTATTTTATTTTATTCAGTCATATCATCTTTACTAGTTATGAATCTGGAGTGTCTTTTGGTGGTTGATATGGTATATTATTCGTTACCTCAGGACCCACTTTTACTTTGTTTCGATCCCTGCTTTGCTTTTGATCCCCCACTTTGCTTCGAGCTCCACTTTACTTCGGTCCCCACTTCTTCGAGCTCCACTTTGCTTCGACCCCCACATGACACTGGTTACTTGCTCCTTGCTCCAGGTGTGTTTGTCCTCTCCCCCCCCTTCGAAGTACTTAGCTTAGGTTCTCACTATTCACAACATTATCGATATCCTCATTTATTGCTTTTTCGGGGAGTGATCTGGAGCTTAGCGCGCGCTTAGTAATTGGCTCTCGATGCGACAAAGTTGCAAAACGTTGCTCTTCTGTACATGTTGATATTGTATCTTTGACTGCATATGTTTGTGTCAACAAGTTCGTTGTCTCTGCCACAGGCGCCACGGCGGCCACAAACGTTGGAACGCGTCTTATGTAGTTTGCAAAGTCTTTGGTTGACTGACGACTCGGAACGGGCCAAGGCTTGAACGTTCATGCACGTCACTACGAGTCGAACTTGACTCAGAGCTCCCGCGACCAACACCGAATTCGAACTGGGGATAAACGATAAGTTATCATATATAGACTCGGTGCCTACTTCGGCGTCTCCTGCTAGGCTCGTGACCAGCCTGGCTTACACCCTGCGGACAAGTCGAGTGGTCAACATCTCAAAGACGTAGTCCAGACTGGTTACGAGTCGAGTCTCCTGCAACTCCAGAGTCTTCTCCACGCCCCGCCTCAGCGTCTCAATATCTGCCTCATCGACCCCGACACTCTTAAACACCCTCATAGAAGGGTCTGACTAGGGTTGATTACTGCATCCCAGTGCTTATTCTGCTTTCACGAATCGCCAGCTCTGGGGTTCCGATTTGTCGCCGCCGATGACGACTATCTGCGCCAGGTTAAGCAGAGACGTTCTATTTATGAAAAAAGGGAGGTGCACGCACCTGCTCGTCTTTGTCGCTGAGGAACCAATTGTACTCATTTCCACGAGAAGAGAGCAGGCCAATACTGCGTCGTGCGATGCTTGAGCTTGAGCACGGAGAGTTAAAATGAGAATGGTCATGACGATCACTCACACGTAACCCTCGTTGGTCTGCTTGAGGAACCAGGACCATGCGCTCGAGTCGGCGGCAATGCAGACGGGTTGGTGCTGACGGTGTCTTAGATAAGAAGCCATTTTATTCTTGCAAGAGACGGATAACCTACGTCGTTGATAGATTTGACGCCCAATGAAGAGGTATACCCGGCGATGGTGAGAGCGCACCAGAGTCGAGGGGTATCGCTGGTGTCCTCATTATAATCCAGGCGCCACTACTCTCGCCTTGAGTTCTGAGGGTGGCAGATGATCCAGAAGTCGTCCAGCTTACCGTTTGGCTGTACTGGCTGGGATCGATGGGCTCTCCGCGAAGTGCGTCTTCGCCGTAACGGATGCTGGCGTAACAATCTGGCTTGCTAGAACTTTGGATGTGATATGTACCAGGCGCGGGATAGGGCATAGTGGATGGTGCAGAGATAGTAAGAATTTGGTGTGATAGTTAGTGGTCCAGATTGCATCACCTGTTATACCCCGTGATTCAGACCCAGCTGCGATTCAATCTCTCTCTGATTGTATGACCTCGGGGCGGACATTTGTACGTGTGACTCTTGTCATTCCTATAAGTTATACTATAAGTAACTCAGGTGTTAGTCCTTGTTGGACTCTGGAGATCTTTTACTGGCATCGTAATGGTCACGTGTTGTAATTTGTGCCTCAGAATTATTTTGTCCTCATTACCATAAACTTCGGAACGCGTCTTAAGCTTTGCAAAGTCTTTGGTTGATTGACGAGCCCTTGTGGTTATTTGAAACGTTCAAGCACGCTGCCACTCGAACTTGAGCTCCTTTGACTGGTACCGAACTGGGGAAATATCAGACACTTTGAACTCGACGCCTACTATTATTTTAACGTCTCCTGCAACTTCGAAGCCTTCTCTACGACCCTCCTCAGCGTCTCAATATCTGCCCCATAGACCCTGACACACTCTCAAACACCATCGCAAACCCATGAAACACATCCGCTTCCCCGCCTCCCACGAATTCTGTCAGCCCTTCCATCTCGGCTACGAACCGGTGGGCTTTCGGGATTCCTTCTGGAATTGTTTGGACGAGTCTGTCAATTGGGGCTGGCTGGGGGAGATTGAGTTCTTTCATCAGGACGTCGGTTGTTGCGGGCGAGGAGCGATTGACGACTGGATCGTGGTCCGTCGTCGGATAAGGCCCATAAAGCTCTTTTTTCATAAACTGTCACCGCCAAGACCGTAATTCTTCAATACTCACAGACTCGCAAAGCTTCAAAGGACTCGCATCGCCTATTCTAGCACCTGCGCCTTTCAACAGCGATACTTTCAGGCCATATTGCGACAGCGCCGAAAACTCTTTTAACATTGATTTTGATCCTTGTTCCTGAACAGGCGTCAAAAGTGGGAATCCCATCCTGCTCGCGGAGGTGTCCCTACTTTACCCCCCTTCTTATGTCAGTGCCCTGCTAAGATTGACACATGTTCTCCCTCCGTGTCGTTATCCACGCATGTCCTCGTTGTTAGCAGCCTGGCTCTGGATTCCCCGTCGTTGCAGTAGCAAGCTGCGGCTTGAGCTGCCGTCTTCAACTTTGCAAAATTGAAGCCCAGGCCTTGGGCAGGCCGTGACCTGGGCTCGGGCTCGAGGCCGGGCCGGAACCCGGACCATAGAGTTGGCATTAGTTGCGGGCATTCCAATATAAGTGTTCCCTTCGTGCTGGTATCGGCAGCGGGCCATTTTTTGACCCCGAACTGCCACTGCCTTCCTCGTACAGAATTGCCGGTTTAAGTTCTGCCACCAACTCTACTGCCACCACCGCCATGGCAAACCAATAACCATCAAATGGAACATGCGAGTAACTTTGCAGCTGACTGGAACAATGGTTCATCGCTTCAAGGGAGGCGAGTCGAACGCAGATGGCCACTCAGGTGAGTCATATTCACCACCTGAAATTCCTATAATGACGTATATTCCGAATGTATTTTTATTGTCATGAAATAACCATCGAGGGAAGCTCTGAATATTTAATTGACATCCCTCGGTGTATAATAGTCATATGACTCAGGAATTCAGAATAACACATACTGTGTCTGTCTGGGCACTCGGTGGGCTGTGATGGTCTTGCTGACGATCATGATACTGAAGGTGCGTGGTTAAGTTTTGGACCTCTTGCGATCCTATCCAGCACTGCTTGTTTACAGCCATGAGTCTCGTACGTCGAATCAATGTGAGTTATTTTTGTATGATTTTAATGGGTCAGTGACTGTGAATCACATATTCATATTGAGCCTATAATTATCGTATTCGACCCTCGCCTAATACTGATGACTAGTGTACATAGGAGGAGCAATCCTGAAAGCAAATCCATAGCTGCACCTCGCTAACCGTTGGTCATCACTCACATGCATAGTTGCACATTACGACAAGTGGCGTCAAGAGATTGTCAAAACAGCGTATGTGCCTTCTCCCGCCTGCTTGGCTGGTTATGCGATACACCACAAATAGAATTGATGTCAACCAGTGTTGCACCCTCGCGTTGACATACTCATTCCCAGCGCCTGACTCGTCTGTACAGACAATATTTCCCATGTCGGAGGTGTTGCTGAGCAACTTCTTTTAGATATATAAAGTCGATTGTTCATTCTGGTGCCGCCACTAGCTCACCACCTTCACTCACCTTCGTTACGGGTACTTAAAGTCACTAGATCCCTTCGAAATGGAGTTGATGTCAGCCACAGATGGCAAGCATCCCGCTGTTCAACGGCCAAGGAATTGGTTCGGTATGTTCATTTATTCCCTATTGTTTATGGCAATGGTTACATGTCACCGCATCAGCGTCCTGGAGGGCTTGCTCGAAGAACCGGTCCAAGAATGCAAACGACGTATCATCCTCTGCACGCGCATGTTACATGCTACATGGCATGCTGGTCATCATACACATCGTCCTTGTTATCTTTTATGCCCGTCACTGGGAACACCGTGTGATCATCTCAATCACATCGACGAACAACGATTTATGGCCTGTGGTGCTGAGTGCTTCACTGCAAGGATTCTATACTGTACGTGCCCACTGTTATGTTAATAATACACCACTGACAAGATTTAATCCAGATCTACACGGCTGTCTTACTCTTCCTTACTCAACGGCTTGCGGTTTCGAGAACACTTGTACGCCGTCTGAAATTGACCGCGATTCACGACATTTCTGGCGCATGGGCGGGCCTCGGCTCTGCACTCAGCAGCGTCTGGCGACAAACTGACATCCCTGCCTCGTTGTGGACGACTGCTGGCGTGACAGCCTACCTTGTGAGCATGTCCGTGTTGCATGTCACCTCTTCCACTCTCCTACAATTTCAACCGTTCAATGCTTCTATGGCAACTTCTGTGCCAACAACACTAGGATGGCTATATGACCTATCACTTAATTCTGGCGCAAACTGGGGTTCCATTACCGCATCTCTACCAATTATCAATCAATTGTCTGGCATGGTCACTCCGGGGTTATCCAATACTACAGTCTACGACACGCTCAAAACAAGCTCCATAACCGGAAATGCAACTGTGAATGCAACGACGATAACCTCCTCGCATTGCGGATTGCTTTCCAATGTCACATACTCTGCTAATATGAGCATGGCCAGCGTACTGTTTAGCACGAATGGTGAAAATTATAATCTCACAATGGGTGCGAGCCCTCCTTGTACGTCGTCGTGGCTGGTGTGATGTTTTCAGCTGAGAAATGTCTACAGGGTCAGACCAGATACAAATTCTACGATGGAGTGCTTTTGAAACTCTCGGTCCTTCCACGGTAAGCATTCTCCGAGATAAGTTGCGTGGACGCTCGGAACTGAACAATGGTTGTATGGAAATAGCTTGATGATTTTTATATACTGCCTACTGTCTTACTCATGGTTTCTACATTATTAGAGATCGAGCCCTCAGTACAAGAGGCGGTTGCTGTAAACATGACTTGGGAATATTACAGTGCGTTTTGCTTGTTTGTAATGTAGCCATGACATCAATATTTTCTACAGATTACACCACCGACACTGACATTCCGTATGGCATTCAGGTCTATTTTGTGCAATGCTCGCTGTTAGCCAACACTGCAGACGGGGTGGTCGACATACAAACCAACAATTTACTGAATCCAGCGCCCATCTGGCAGCCATCCACGCAATGGGAGATATATCAGTGGACGAATGTTAGTGGTTGGGCAGCAGAAGTGCGTTACGCGGCACTCATTTTGAGAGGTTATGGAAAGTTCAATGATCCACTGTTTATTACAGATCGGCATGGCTTTATCTACCCCTGTCAGTAGCGGGTATTCATTTGGAGAACAATTTCTACATCCCACCCAACCCTCTATTGCGGATGAGTGAAAACGTTACCTTGACTGCACCGTTTCAATGGCTCACCCACGGTTTGACTTCTAGGTATATTATGTCATTGGTGGGCTTGAATCTCACCGCTGAAGAATTACAATCCGGATACTATCTTCCTACTGCCACTTTCGTTTTGAGACCGGATATATTAGAACTGGCTGTTGCGAAAGCAGCTGCACAACTCATTTGGATAGGTAAGATACCGCTTTTGGTTTGGCTTCCTCAATTATTGCCCTGTTCTTACTCATTCTGTGTCACATGCTCAGCGGGACGGATCGGCGCATCTCATGGAGGATTTCAGCCTGGCAACGGGATGGCCAATGTCGACGAGGAGTATATTGCCCTCCGCCTCAATGTCAGTTTGAACTGCACAGAACCTCTTTTCAATTGACTGACGCAATATCTTGTAGATCAACCTTCTTCCTGTGAGTTCGTGATAGTATCTACGGAATGACAATTCATCGAATATGATTCTAGTTGTGTTTTGCGGTATCTGCATCGGTGATAATGTTGGGACTGGCGCTACGCATGACAAGAGCATTCGATGCATCGCATTCCAGTCAGGCTGCCATTCCTAACATAGGCATACTACAACTCTTGTGGTTGGGTCATCGTTCAGCCTCAATCAATGAAGTCCTGGAAGATGTGGAGCACCCGACAGAGGCTAATCTGCGCCGAGCAGGCATGGTAGATGTTTGTTTTTCAAATACGATACCCGGCGAACAAGAGTTTGGGAGTTCAATTGATAGTCTCACTAGTGAAGTTGACCACGGTCATGACGATGAGATGTGATTCTGGTTCAAGACTATAGAGGGCTGGCGAACTGCTGCTTATTTATGTTTGTACACTATATATTTCGTCGTTCCATGGATCCATGGTTCATACTGCTCTGATGCGGAGGTCTGTATTATGATCGTTGTGCTTGGTACGTTTGTCAATTTAAATGCGGAGTCGTCTCGAGGTCGACTACTGAAATATAGAGGCGGAAACAGGTGCGTCGCAGCTATCATTATCATGCGGGTGGTACTGGCTTGCTTCTCTATTTTTACCAGAAAAGAATTCTTTGAATTGACTACGGGAGATCGCCGTCTTGACCGCTCTGCTCGAACTTTGATCAAACGCATCTTGCGACAGGGATCTGGACTAACTGATGTAATTTCGACTCTTCGAGTTTTAGATAGTAGAATTGACCACTATCCAGAATTCGAGATTGGTCGACTCATCATCTCGGTGATTTCAGCGATATCAGGTGATGCACGTCTGTAACTGTTTCATGTATATCATCACATTGCTTGCTTACACTTATTTCACCTCGTATTCTTCACTATGTGTGGAGAAAGTCCGCAACGTGCTTCGTACCCAAGCCAGATTCTGTTTAAAGACGTTTAGATATGAGTTGCGTTCGATCTCGCTGGATCATTTAGAACGTTTCCTGTGTGTTGTATTTATTGACCAAGTTTTTCTCAATGGTAATTGAAAACCGAGTGCAGTCGAAAAAAATCGGCACTGCTTTACATGCTAGCATTTGTGTAAACTGATGGTACAACAACTATCAGATCTCAGAAACAAAACAAATACATGACGTGAGTATCTGCATCCCAGTGCTTATTCCGCTGCCACGAATTGCCAGCTCTGGGGTTTCTCCAGAAGTCGTTCAGCTCACCGCTTGGCTACATTGGCTAGGATCAATGGGCTCTCCGCGAAGTGCGTCTTTGCTGTAGCGAATGCTGGCGTAACAATCTGGCTTGCTAGAACTTTGAATGTGGTATGTACCAGGTGCGAGATAGAGCATAATGGATGGTGCAGAGATAATAGAATTTGGTGTGATAGTTAGTGGTCCAGATTGCATCACCTAGTTATACCCCGTGATTCAGACTCTGCTGCGATTCAATCTCTTTCTCTGATTATATGACCTCGGGGCAGACATTATTTGTACGTGTGACTCTCGTCATTTCCATAAGTAACTGTTATGGAAAGCCGGAGCACCGTGCTCGTCACGCATCCAAAGTAGGTGCTCCCTCCGCAGCACCAGATTACCGTCAACTCCATCGAGCATCTCCCGTGCTACACGCCACTGCCTGTCGATATATGCACGCGCTCCTGGAAAGCGATTGAGGTCATGCCAGTTGCTGCATCAGAGTCAGCCACGAGCCGAGCGTGATATTCTCGAACGCTAAGGATGAGGCGTGGTCCCAGCACAAAGGATTGTATGACTGTCAAAATCTGAAGAAAACCAAGCACAATCTGTGCTTCGAGGGAAAATGGGTCCTATAGAAATAATGAACCGCAGTCGCATGCAGAGGTCAGTGAAAGATTGACATACCGCTAAGATCGTTGGAGACAAAGTAACTATGAGGGTGAAGCAAGACACGGCAACATAACTAGCGCGTTCAATCATTCAACAGAAAAGGGAAGCATAATCACAATATGGACTCACCTTGCAAAGTAAAGCACATGGGATTTTATCAACACCGTGAAACAGTCGCCGATAATCCCTCCTGCCGAATGTTGTCGCAGTTCACGGAAGTGTTTAACAGCAACCCAGACTGCGAGACACAGCGCGAGGACCTCCCAGACAGTACGGAGTATCCAAGTTATGGTACCCAGAAGTGGGGTATTGTCCTCATTGCCAAACATGCATGCATAGGTTCCAGAGATGATGAGTTCCTCTTGTATCCATCAATGAGCGCCATGCACGGTTTTCATTCGCAATTAAGTGTACCTCCTGAAGCATGCCTCGCTATCATTACAGCGGCCGCTACGTCGTAAATGTTGACAGCCAAGCACACGACGACGATAAATATCAGGATCCTTGTGGATCGTTGATACATGGCATGTAACCGAGCGGTCATGATGACTGCAACATGTTTCGGTCGGTCAAGTCAATATCATAGGTCTCGTAACTGCACAGCTCACCACACAGCATCGTATATACCACAACATTCATCCAATTCCACACGAGGTACATAATCAAGCCTGAGAAATCCGGTTAGTGATGGGCCTTGGGTGGATCGCACACCACAAACAGACTCACATCTGTAGCAGTCATGATAGTAAACGAAGAAGTTGGTCAAGAATGACACTCACCCCTACAGGGTGTCGCGGTTAATTGAATGGGAATAGCAGGCATCGGTGCAGAAGACTCACTGCATCTGTCAACAAAATCGTCGGAACATTATCTGTATGCCACTGGTCAGAAGAAACAAACACGGTGAATGCGAGAAGACATACCCAGTATATTCACGCTGATTGTGAGAGATAATAGATTAGCACGACACCAATTGTCAAGCCTTCTGAACATACACAATATAAAAAATTCCAAGATAGCGCACCTAGGATATTGTCGAGTCAGCAGAAATTCACAACAGGCAAGCTACGTACACTCATATAGAGAACAGTCATCAGGGACCAACGTTGTCTCTGTTGCAAATCAACATTGTTCTTCCGACGTGGAACTGTGCTCACCCAGACCAGTTCGACCTACAAACAAATCTTAGCGAGATGGCTGCCCCAGTCATAGGATCAACATACCTCTTGTCCGAACGTAAGGACTGGAAATACTTGTAGGAAATCAGCAATTTTCTAATGTTATGATGCTCACCCCAATCATATACCATTCCAACACCGGCGGCAACTGGAAAACCACAATCAAGGTCAGATCGAAACATGAGCGCCGAAATCTGATTGCTCTTCACGAACCTATTAAATAGCTGGCAATACGCCAAGAGTTGATGAGTGGCCAATTACTAGGGTCGTCTGAGACTAGTGTCATACTGTTAGAGGATGGATGTGAGGGAGCGGGGAACTTGGTGGACATACGACGATGATATTTGTGCTAAATATACTACCATGCAGTGCTTGGATGACCAAAATGAGATCGAGGGATGGGTTCCTGTCAATAGATATGCTGTTCGAAGTGCTGTAGCGGGCCTTGATGCGAAAGTGATCTGATGGCATTGTTCTAGTACTAATTTAGATCTCCTCATACTGTAATAGTCACGTGCTGTAATTTGTGCCTCAGTGTCCTCATTACCATGGCTTAGGCGGAGTTTCTACAAACTTCGGAACACGTCTTAAGCTTTGCAAAGTCTTTGCTTGATTGACGAGCCCTTGTAGTTATTTGAAATCTTCAAGCACGCCGCCACTCGAACTTGTGTTCCCTTGACCTCTACCGAACTGGGGAAATATCAGATATAAACTCGACGCCTATTTTGACGTCTCCTGCAACCTCAAAGCCTTCTCTACGACCCTCCTCAGCATCTCGATATCTACCCCATAGATCCGACCCTGACACACTCTCAAACACCATCGCAAACCCATGAAACACATCCGCTTCCCCGCCTCCCACGAATTCTGTCAGCCCTTCCATCTCGGCTACGAACCGGTGGGCTTTTGGGATTTCTTCTGGAATTGTTTGAACGAGTCTGTCAATCGGGGCTGGCTGGGGGAGATTGAGTTCTTTCATCAGGACGTCAGCTGTTGCGGTCGAGGAGCGATTGACGGCTGGATTGTGGTCCATCGTCGGATAAGACCCATAGAGCCCATTTTTTACATAAACTGTCACCACCAAGACCGTAAGTCTTCAACACTCACAGACTCGCGAAGCTTCAAAAGACTCGCATCGCCTATTCTAGCACTCGCGCCTTTCAACAGCGATACTTTAAGGCCGTATTGCGAAAGCGCCGAAAACTCTTCCAACATGATTTTGATCCTGGTTCTGAACAGGCGTAATCCCATCCTGCTCGCGGGGGTGTCCCTACTCTACCCCCCTTCTTATGTCAGCGCCCTGCTAAGATTGACACATGTTCTCCCTCTGTGATGTTGTTCACGCATGTCCTCGTTTTCATCAGCCTGGCTCTGGATTCCCCGTCTTGTAGTAGCAAGCCGCGGTCTTTGGCTTTGCAAAATTGAAGCCCAGGCCCAAGCCTTGGGCAGGCCGTGACCTGGGCTCGGTCTCGAAGCCGGGCCGGAACCTGGACCATAGAGTTGGTATTAGCTGCGGGCCTTCAATTATAAGTGTTCCTTCGTGCTGGTATCGGCAGCGGGCCATTTTTTGACCCCGAACTGCCACTGCCTTCCTCGTACAGAATCGCCGGTTCAAGTCCTGCCACCAACTCTACTGCCACCACCACCATGGCAAACCAATAGCCATGAAATGGAACAGTTGTTCATCGCTTCAAAGGAGGCGAGTCCAGCGCAGATGGCCACTCAGGTGAGTCATATTCACTACCTGAAATACCTATAATGACTTATATCTTGAATGGATTTTTATGTCATGAAATAGCCATGGAGGGAAGCTTCGAATATTAATTGACATCCCTTGGTGTATAATAGTCATGACTCAAGAACTCAGAATAGCACATACTGTGTCTGTCTGGGCACTCGGTGGGCTGTGATGGTGTTGCTGACGATCATGATACTGGGGGTGCGTGGTTGGGTTTCGGACCTCTTGCGATCCTATCCAGCACTGCTTGTTTACAGCCATGAGTCTCGTACGTCTAATCAATGTGAGTTATTTTTGTATGTTGTTAATGGGCTATTGACTGTGGATCACATATTGAGGCTATAATTATCGTTGTGCGAAAATTCGACCCTCGCCTAATACTGATGACTAGTTTACATAGGAGGAGCAATCCTAAAAGTAAATCCATAGCGGCACCTCGCTAACCGTTGGTAATCACTCACATGCATAGTTGCACATTAGAAAAAGTCGCGTCAAGCGATTGTCAAAACAGCGTCTGTGTCTGTGCCTTCTCCCGCCTGCTTGGCTGGTTATGCGATACACCACGAATGCGATACACTGCGAATAGAATTGATGCCAACCAGTGTAGCACCCTCGCGTTGACATAATCATTCCCAGCGCCTGACTCGTCTGTACAGACAATATTTCCCATGTCTCTGTACGGAGGTAAGGCTGAGCAACTTCTTTTAGATATATAAAGTCGATTGATCATTCTGGTGCCGCCACTAGCTCACCATTCCTTCGTCACGGGTACTTAAAGTCACTAGATCCCTTCGAAATGGAGTTGATGTCAGGCACAGATGGCAAGCATCCCGCTGTTCAACGGCCAAGGAATTGGTTCGGTATGTTCATTGATCCCCTATTGTTTACGGTAATGGCTACATGTCACCGCATCAGCGTCCTGGAGGGCTCGCTCGAAGAACCGCTCGAAGAATGCAAACGACGGATCATTCTCTGCACGCGCATGTTACATGCTACATGGCATGCTGGTCATCATACATATCATCCTTGTTATCTTTTATGCCCGTCACTGGGAACACCGTGTGATTATCTCAATCACGTCGACGAACAACGATTTATGGCCTGTGGTGCTGAGTGCTTCACTCCAAGCATTCTATACTGTACGTGTCCACTGTTATGTTAATAATACACCACTGACATGGTTTTATCCAGATCTACACAGCTGTCTTACTCTTCCTTACTCAACGGCTTGCGGTTTCGAGAACACTTGTACGGCGTCTGAAATTGACTGCGATTCACGACATTTCTGGCGCATGGACGGGTCTAGGCTCTGCACTCAGCAGCATCTGGCGACAAACTGACATCCCTGTCTCATTGTGGACGACTGCTGGCGTAACAGCCTACCTTGCGAGCATGTCCGTGCTGCATGTCACCTCTTCCACTCTCCTACAATTTCAACCGTTCAATGCTTCTATGGCGACTTCTGTGCCAACAACACTAGGATGGCTAAATGACCTATCAATCAATTCTGGCGCAAACTGGGGTTCCATTACCGCATCCCTACCAGTCATCAATCAATTGCCTGGCATGGTCACTCCAGGGTTATCCAATACTACAGTCTATGACACGCTCAAAACAAACACCGTAACAGGAAATGCAACTGTGAATGCAACGACAATAACCTCGCATTGCGGATTGCTTCCCAATGTCACATACTTTGCTAATACGAGCATAGCCCACATACCGACTGGCGCGAATGGTGAAATTGATGGTTTCTCAGTGGGTGCGAGCCCTCTCTGTGCGTCGTCATGGCTGGTGTGATGTTTTCAGCTGAGAAATGTCTACAGGGTCAGACCAAATACAATTTCTTCGAGTCCCATTTTTAGATGCTGTGTCCAGTCGTTCCCTGGTAAGTATTATCCAGGATAATAGTGTGGACGCTCGGAACTGAACGATAGTTGTACAATAGACTGCCAATGATTATATGCCTAATGTCTTATTGATGGTCTCTACATTATTAGAGATCGAGCCCTCAGTACAAGACGCGGTTGCTGTTAACATGACTTGGGAAGATCACAGTGCGTTTTGCTTGTTTGTATTGCAACTGTGATAATAAAGGTTTCCGCAGATAGCTCCGATGTCTTTACTATCATTTCGTATGGCATTCAGGTCTATTTTATACAATGCTCGTTGTCAGTCAACACTACAAAAGGAGTGGTCGACATGCGAACCAACAGTTTACTAAATCCAGTGCCCATCTGGCAGCCATCCACGCAATGGGAGATATATCAGTGGACGAATATTAGTGATTGGGCAACAGAAGTGCGTTACACAGCACTCATTTTGAGAGGTTACAAAAAGTTCAAATGATCCACTGTTTATTCCAGATCGGCGAAGCTTTGTCTATCCCGGTCAATAGCGGGTATTCATTTGGAGATCCATCTCTACATCTCACCCAACCATCTATTGCGGATGAGTGAAAACGTTACCTTGACTGCACCGTTTCAATGGCTCACCCACGGTTTGACTTCTAGGTATATCATGTCATTGGTGGGCTTGAATCTCACCGCTGAAGAATTACAATCCGGATACCTGGCGGCTCCACCTCCTATTGCCACTTTCGTTTTGAGACCGGGCATATTAGAACTGGCTGTTGCGAAAGCAGCTGCACAACTCATTTGGATAGGTAAGATATCGTTTTTGGTTTGACTTTTTCAATCATTGCCCTGTTCTTACTCATTCTGTGTCACATGCTCAGCGGGACAGATCGGCATATCTAATGGAGGATTTCAGCCTGGCAACGGGATGGCCTATGTCGACGAGGAGTATATTGCCCTCCGCCTCAATGTCAGTTTGAACTACACAGAACCTATTTTCAATTGACTGACGCAATATGTTGTAGATCAACCTTCTTCCTGTGAGTTCGTGATAGTATCTACGGAATGACAATTCATCGAATATGATTCTAGTTGTGTTTTGCGGCATCTGCATCGGTGATCATGTTGGGACTGGCGCTATACACGACAAGAGCATTCGATGCATCGCATGATCGCCAGGCTGTCATCCCAGACATAGGTCCACTTCAACTCATGTGGTTGGGTCATCGTTCTGCCTCTATCAATGAAGCCCTGGAAGATGTGGAGCACCCGACAGAGGCCAATCTGCGCCGAGCAGGGATGGTAGATGTTTGTTTTGCAAAAACGATATCCGGCGAACAAGAGTTTGGGAGTTCAACTGATAGTCTCACTAGTGAAGCTGACCACGGTCATGACGATGAGATGTGATTTGGGTTCAAGAATAGTGGGCTGGCGAACTGCTGCTTATTTATGTTTGTACACTATATATTTCGTCGTTCCATGGTTAATACTGCTCTGATGCGGAGGTCTGTATTATGATTGTTGTGCTTGGTATGTTTCTCAATTTAAATGCGGAGTCGTTCTCTCGAGGTCGACTGCTGAAATATAGAGGCGGAAACAGGTGCGTCGCAGATATCATTATCATGCGGATGGTGCTGGCTTGCTTCTTTATTTTTACCAGAAAAGAATTCTTTGAATTGACTACAGCAGATCGCCGTCTTGACCGCTCTGCTCGAACTTTGATCAACCGCATCTTGCGCCAGGGATCTGGTCTACTGAAGTGATTTCGACTCTTCGAGTTTTAGATAGTAAAATTGACCACTATCCAGAATTCGAAATTGGTCGACTCATCATCTCGGTAATTTCAGCGATATCAGGTGATGCTCGTCTGTAACTGTTTAATGTATATCATCACATTGCTTGCTTACGCTTATTTCACCTCGTATTTTTCACTATGTGTGGAGAAAGTCCGCAACGTGCTTCGTACCCAAGCCAGATTCTGTTTAAAGATGTTTAGATATGAGTTGCGTTCGATCTCGCTGGATCATTTAGAACGTTTCCTGTGTGTTGTACCTATTGACCATGTTTTTCTCAATGGTAATTGAAAACCGAGTGAAGTCGAAAAAAAATCGGCACTGCTTTACATGCTAGCATTTGCGTAAACTGATGGTACAACAACTATCAGATCTCAGAAACAAAACAAATACATAACGCGAGTATCGGCATCCCAGTGCTTATTCTGCTGCCACGAATTGCCAGCTCTGGGGTTCCACAATACCTTGGACGTTGATCATGATCTGCGCTGGGTTAAGTAGAGACACTTTACGAAAAAGGGAGGTGCACGCACCGGCTCGTCTGTGTTGCCGAGGTACCAAGTGTACTCATGGTCATCAGCCTGAGAGATCTGCCCAATACTGCAATACTTGAACTTGAGCATGACGAGTTAAAACAAGGATGGTCGTCGCTCACACGTAACCCTCATTGCTCTGCTTGAGAAACCAGGTCTGCGAGTCGTCCATGAAGTAGACAGGTTGGTACTGCAGAAGGTTGTGTAAGGAGCAATCTGAATCTTACAGGAGACTACCAGTCTACCTTCTTGTCGGAATGCACGCCCAATGAGCCTTCACCCTCGTCTTTGGTGAGAACGCAGAATACCTGAGGGCGGTCGCTAGCACCTTCAACATAGTCTAGGCGCCACTACTCTCACCGTGAGCTTTCAGGGTAGCAGAATGATCAGAAAGTCGTTCAAGCTTACCCTTTGGTAATACGCCATGGGATTGATAGGCTCTCCGCGAAGTACTTTTTCTTCGCCATAGCGAACGCTTGCGTAACGATTTGGCTTGCTACAACTTTGTATGTAGTAGAAGCCAGGTGCAGGATAAGACTGTGACATGGTGGATGATGCAGAGATGGTAAGAATTTGGATTGTTGGATGATGAACCTAGTGGTCTTGATTGTCCTACCTTTATACCAGTGATTCAGACCCAGAAATCCAATCTCTCTCTGATTGTGTGGACTTGAGGCAGATTCTTGTACGTGTGACTCTCGTCATTCCTATAACTGATGAACCGGCCGGGATTATCGTTTGCCGTTCAATGCCCTAAGGGGTACCACGTTTACCTGAACATTCTGTCAAAGCGAGGAGTGACTGGAAGCGAAAGACTTTACCGGAAGTATACATGCTATAATTCCGGCCCCTTTAAAGAGGTTACCGGACGATTCCAACTATCACTGCTCAGAAAGAGAGATCAGAAGAGAAGGGTCGTATATTGGCAGTCGTTCAACATCATATTGTTTACATATGCGTGACCTCCAAAAAGAAACTTCAGTGAGGTGCGGGGCAGCAGTATGTGCGACTCATGAACCGGTCGGGACTATTCAAGTTCGCCGCTGAATAGCGTAAGAGGTGCGATGTTTACCTGAACATTCTGTCAAAGCGAGGAAGAGCGACTGGGAAAGACTGACTTACAAACTCTGCAGTATCAATGAAAAACAGCAACGACTCGCGAAAGATGATAACTAAAGAGAAACGAGAGAAAGACAGACAAAAGCTGAAGGTGCGAGAGATCATACTGCGGGGCACGAGTGAGGATATAATGATTCAGGTGACACCGCTCGGTAATGGCTGCAATATTCAGCTGGCTGCTGAAGTGAACATGTGGAGTATATGTAGAGCCTGCCAGGGGTCTGTTCGTTGTGACTCAGCGAGTGCCGTCAGAGGCTCGAACTTTGTTTGCTCAGGGTTTGAAGAAACCGAGATATGAGGTCCGAGTGATACAGGGTACTTACCATAAATGCCGCGTCTGAATCACAAGTATAAAGGCAGTCGCGAGCATTCAAGACGACATTACATAATATTGGTCACGAGTTTCCCGCGCGCAAACCACAGCGTTCTTTCTTCACTATCATGTTGGGTCCATGTGAATATGCTGCAGCTACAAAATAACTATGTCGATATCATGCTTCGCCTCGAGCAGATTATTCTCGCACAGTACGTTCAGAGGGTCAGACAGCGTGCTTTGTGATCGCTGGCGCTGGCGCCGTCACGTCGAGGCCCGCGTCATTGATGACAGGACCGGGCAACTTGAAGTTGGATATACTAGTCAATGCATTCCGAGGGTCTCACATCCACTTCGAATTCAGTACCCCTGCGTGCTAGTTGGACAGTCTACTGCCTCCATTAATTGTATGGGAAAGTAGTGGCACAATAATGCGGTGAACTGACCACTGATTCACAGGTAAAGTGGTATCTTGTAACTTCAAGATCTGATTTCCATGATGAAGCAGGAGATTCCATGTCGTTTTTTAAGACCAGCATCACGCATCATATTTCAAGAACACACCTAATTCTTTTTCTAGCAAATACGTGCATGAGAGGTATCATTCGCCTGATCATTAATGCTGGACGCTCATCGAGACATCGTTCTAAGTTCTGTTAAAACTAGAAATGAAAATTTACCAGAATTTCTGCCGCAATTCGCTGATCCGTGATGCTATGCTGTCTCAGGCTGAGGGCGTTATGTCTACTATATAACGATATAGATGAGCTGCCAATGTTGCTCACAATCCCTAGGCATCATTTTCGCCATGCCTGCACCTCGCGTCCCGCTTGATGTTGCTGTCATCATGTCAACGGTTCTGGAAGACATTTTGTACGGTGGGTATCGCACTAAGTTTATCCGTCCCATGTTCACCAAGCTAGCGTTCTTCAGGCTTTTCAGTCCTTATGTTCATAGGTGCCACCTGGATATTTACCTACAAACATCATATACGGGATGTCAATCGCCCAATCGCTGCGGTTGCCACCCTGTTGCTCGTACTGAGTACCGCGGTTTGACAAGAACTCAAATATATCAGTATTTGATCCCAGGAACATAGTCCGTCAACTCTCTGAGATACAAGCATCTAAACATCCCAAATTCCTGAATAATAGCTAAGATATGATCAATGAACTGTCATGTTAAGATTTAGAATTTAATGAAGCATCTCACTCGAGCCCTTTGACAGTATTGCAACGACGACAGTTGAATTGCCTTCCAGATAATTCCCCTCGGAAACTCCAATTATAATTGAGTGCTATGAATATTAATATTACTGGTAACCGGGAAGTCACAGCTACAAGACGCCAAGCTACCATCTTCTGGCTCTTTCTCATACAAACAATAAAAAATCAATTGCATCGAGGCTTTTTCCCTTCATATTTTGGCGGAGGGGATGTCTCATCTCCCGGTCTGGGCCTCTTCTGCTTCAGGAAGTTGGGGAGCGTACAAAGTTCTATAACCCCGGCACGTTCTTGCGCACAACGGAGAAATTCTGCAGCTCTTCCATGCATATCTTCCAGAAGAATGTTGTCAAGCGCTAGCACAGAATGATTTGCCTCCGCCTTTCGATATCCATCTTGGATAGCTTTTGCGAAGTAGGGAATATAAAAGCAAACATCATGGCACGTCTTTGAAAGGAAGGCTCTGCAGTTGCTTTGGAGCTGTATAAGGTTGGTGAAGAAGTAATAGCGTGATACGCGGTCGATCGTACCAGGGAAGGCCAACCGGAATTGGTTCCACTGATCAGCAATGGAATGGCCGGCATTCTCCGTTGTTGTGTTCGTGTGATAAAAGAAGATCCAGGTAAAAGTCCACCATACGGATTCAATGTCGTGCAGGAAATTCATGCGAAATGGAGGGTCGATCGGGAAGTCTGTATCAGGCGAGAGGATGTCGCAAATTGGGGGGAGGTCGCGAATTGGGTGGAAACGATAATCCTGCATTTCTACTTCCGCCGCCATGAAAGGTATTGTTCCCTGTCCACGGGTTAACAGCGAAAGAGATGGTCTTCAAAAAATCTTACCGCTCGAACATCATGGGAACTATTTGGATCTATCTTTTCCGCGTAGTCGAAGTCACGCAATTTCCCGATACCCCCGACCCAAATTACGTTCCCGACGCTGAAATCGCGATGAACCCAGCCTGCTTTGTGCATATGATACAAGGCTAAGGTTGAATAAGCGACGGAGGAAAGGAGAGTGACAGTGGTTTGCTCACCCGTAAGTGCACCGGACAAACAAGTCAGATTATCGGCCAAAGAGGTGACATCCTTGAGAGCGACTCCGACATCATGTAAGACAATGCGAGTATGGACTCTGCGTGGGATGCAAGTTTCTTTGTGCGTGATAATGCCCAATTGTGTGGGAAAAGAGGCAGACAGTTGGCTTGTGCTAGATAAATGTAGTCCCGCGGAGAGGATGGGATTGACATCGATGGACACCCAGGAACGATTATGCTCTTCTGCAACCATCGGGTCCAGCGTCTCGTCTCGGCTATCGTCGATTATGACATCCTTCCAGAGCCTGACTCCAACGAAGTGCCTCTTGGCATCCGCCAACTCCTCCGGTTGCAGCTTCTCCGCACAGGAAGTCAAGATGTTTTCTAGGATTTCGCCCTCTGATTGACGTTCGACTTCTCTCCATGAATCTTTGATGGCAACCTTCTTTCCCTTGGCGTCTGTGACTTCGTACACGCAAGGTCCACGCCCAACCGTAGAGTCTGCGCCGTAGGTTGCAAGTTCACATGTCGTGGTGAACACTTCATCCCCGATAATGAACTTGTATTGGAAATCCTTCCCATCATGAATCCGCTCGACAGTGGGGTCCCATCCGAGCTCTTTCATAGTAGAAGACACAGACGCAAATCCAAGAGCGTAAAAGAGCGAGATAACACCATCGATGTTCTAGATGTACCATGCCTGTTAGCACCCTGATACACAGCGCGACACGTTTGCGTACCTCGAAGAAGTTGATAGGTTCTGTAACCACAAGGAACGCACGATTGCTGAGCCACAGTCTCAATTGCGTGTCCTCGATTGTGATACCGAACGCAAACCGACGAAGAGGATCCTCGCGCATGATACTGTGAAGGCTCCAGATTATCTTCTGTTTGTTCTAGAGCAGGCTTTGTGAGCGGAGGCCGACAATATCTGTAACAACTTACATCTCGGAGAGACTCAATATCCTGCTCCTTCTTGAATTCGAATGGCACAGCAATATCGAACCAATGTATATTGGGCTCGGTTTTGTTGTTGTTAAGTACAAGATAACCATCAGGCCTGGAAGTATTGTTGCGCTGCGAGAGGGGTGTTCCATTTGGGTTCGCTAGGAAGGAAACTCCGCGTTTCGGGACTTCTGCCAAAATTTCAGCGATGATGCGACCGAGGGGCTTGAACAGATTTTCTTCGGGCCCTTTCGATGTGGCGGGCGGGGTAAAGTCCGTCCATCGCAAGCCACTCTCATCGTCGGTGAGAATCTTGCTCTCTGTCAAGTTGCTGCGTATCCGCTGCAGATCCTGCTGAGAGGGCATGGCACCAACGCATTTCACTAGGCAATCAAATGGAACCTGCAGATACTTTCTCAAATCAGCGAGAACAGCAAGGTGGCCTAGTTTCAGATCCCCCGTGCGATAATCAGCTTGTAAGGTATGACGAGTGACTGGAACTGTATCTGGTGGTGGCATTTGTTAATTCTGTGATGAGGGGTGAGCATCATAATTTGATGAGGCAAGTAAGGACAATGTGGCTTTGGCGAAATGAAACCGTGATTGTTCCACCATACCAGGATTGTTGACTGCAGCGTCATATTTAGGACTTAAATCCTTGCCAGTAAACGGACTCGCAAGTGTGGCTACGTACCTCGCAGGGACCAAGAGGAAGTTGTACCGTATCTGGAGCAACTCTGGAGCAATTGTGCGTTGTAACTTGTTTCCATAAACGGGTTGGTATTATGTAATCGAGGGTTAGCGATTTTGTCCTGACACGTCTAGGACTTGTGTGATGATTGTCAAGGCAAACGGTTGGTCTTTGATTAATTTACCGTCCACGACGAGCCCTTCCAGTTAATGTTCAAGTACGCCGCTATGAACTGAAGCTCCCTCGATCGAACTGGAATTAAGCCAATGAGGGTCAGCGCCTACTTCGACGTCTCCTGCAATTCCAAAGCCTTCTCTACGCCCCTCCTCAGCGTCTCAATATCCGCTCCATCTCCCTCAAGCGACCCCGACACTCTCTCAAACACCCTCGCAAACCCCTTAAACACATTCGCTTCCCCGCCTCCTACGAATTCTGCCAGCCCTTCCATCTCAGCTACGAAACGATAGGCTTTGGGGATTCCTTCTGGGACTGTTTGGATGAGTCTGCCCATTAGGGCTGGTTGGGACATGCTAAGTTCTTTCATTAGGGCGTCGGCCGTTGCGGGTGAGGAGCGGTGGGCGGCTGGGTTGCGGTAAGTTGTTTGATTTATCTTGAAGGCGTATTTTGATTAGGCGGCGAAAGGGACTTACTTAGCATCATCGTCATGAAGAGGCCAATAGAGCCTTTTTTCATCATCTGTCACCACCAGGACCGTTTCAACCCTGCTATCTTGTTTGCAGCAAGGAATATCAATCACTCACAGACTCGCAAAGCTTCAAAGAACTCGCATCGCCTATTCCAGCACCTGCACCTTTCAACAACGATACTTTAAGGCCGTGCTGCGACAGCGCCGAAAACTCCTCCAGCACTGATTCTGATCCTGGTTCTGAACAGGCGTAAAATGTGGGATCCCATCCTACTCGCGGCGGTGTCCCTACTATTCCGGCATCAATGAATGTCATAGATGTTTCTTTGAACAGCCCTCCGATGCGTTTTACTGTTTCTGGGTTCACAGCGTTACAGTCGACGAAAGCGCGCGGAACGGGAAGGGCATGGGAGTCATGGGACATGGAAGTAGGATTGGACACCACCCCCTCTATCTTCTGCGCAAATGCAAACGCTTCTCCCGGAGGCACGATGCTTAATATCCACTTTGACTTGGATACTAGCGTTTCGAGGGGGACGATTATCATCCCTGCGTCGCGGGCGCGTTGGTGGGCTGCGTCGGAGCGACCGTCGAGGTTGGTGTAGACTGTGCAGCCGCCGTTCACGAGGCGTTTTGCTATTGCGGAGCCCATTGCTCCTGCTGAGATTATGGCGATGGTTGACATTGTGCGTGGGGTTGGGATCTTCGGTGATCTGTTTGGGAGGAGGGCTGGCGGGGTGCTGCTTATTTATGGGATCGTATGTCATTCATCGTTCCGTGATTTACACTGCGGAAGTCCGCACAGTGGTTATTTTGGTGTTTCTCGATTTAGACAGAAGGTTGTTCTCGCAAGGTCGAGTACTGGCATACGGATATGGAAACACATCTTCAATGGCCAACTGGAGATCAGGATGGAAATCGCGCTATTGGAAGTGAGTACAGGGTATTTCACTAGTTGTCAGGTCCATGACTTCCTTCCTGTTCCGCCATATAATAATGACATTATCTGCGAGCCTCCCAATCAGGCCATTTTGACCGCCATTGACCCCCTCATACAGATTTACCTTTTCAAGTTCTACCGCCGATTCTACCGCCGCCATGGCAAATGAACAGTCGTCAAATGGAACAGCTTATTCAAAAGCGCGAAAGAGGTGAGTGTTATCATGATATTGTTGCCCATCTCGTTCAGCCTACATGTTTGATACAGATGTCGCCGCTCGGGCGAGTCACACACATACTGCTGAAATTCCTATGTTGACGTCAGTATATCTCTATTTTATGTACAGGCAACTGATAACGCATCGAGATGCTTGATGCATATGGACACCACTCGGTCTATAATAGTTATGTGTCATGAACTCAGAATAGTAAATGCTGTGTCTGTCTGGGCACTTGGCTGACTGTGATGGTCATGATACTGAAGGGCCACATCCCAGGCCTCGTGCGATTCTGTCCAGCACTACTGGTTTACTGTCAGCAACCCGTGAGTCTGATACTACATCGAATCAATGTGAGTTATGTTCACCTGCTGCCAATGGACCAACGGTGACTTTGAATCAGGTATTGAGGCTATAATTAATTATCCTTGTGGGAAATTTGGCCCTCGCCTTACGGAGATGAGGCCGAGCAGTTTCTTTTGGATATATGGGTACCGTAACCAGCTCACTACATTTGTACGGAGGTGGGGCTGAGCAACTTCCTTGAGATATAAAAAGTCGATTGTTCGTTCTGGTGCTGCCACATTCACTCACCTTCGTCACGGGTATTGAAAGTCGCTAAATCCCTTCGAAATGGAGTCGATGTCAGCCACAGATGGAAACTATCCCGCTGTTGAGTGGCCAAGGAATTGGTTCGGTATGTTCGTTTGTTCCCTATTGTTTATGGTCACGGTAATGGCTACATGTCACCGCATCAGCGTCCTGGAGGGCTCGCTCGAAGAACTGGTCCAAGAATGCAAACGACGTATCATCCTCTGCACGCGCATGTTACATGCTACATGGCATGTTGGTCATCGTACATATCATCCTTGTTATCTTTTATGTTCATCACTGGGAACACCGTGTGATCATTTCAATCACGTCAACAAACAATGATTTTTGGCCTGTGTTGCTGAGTGCTTCACTCCAAGCATTCTATACTGTAAGTGTCCACTGTTATCTTAATAATAGACCACTGACATGATATAATCCAGATCTACACAGCTGTCTTACTCTTCCTTACTCAACGGCTTGGGGTTTCGAGAACACTTGTACGCCGTCTGAAATTGACTGCGATTCACGACATTTCTGGCGCATGGGCGGGCCTCGGCTCTGCGCTTAGCAGCGTCTGGCGACAAACTGACATCCCTGCTTCATTATGGACCACTGCTGGCGTGACAGCCTACCTGGCGAGTATGTCCGTGCTGCATGTCACCTCTTCCACTCTCCTACAATTTCAACTGTTCAATGCTTCTATGGCGACCTCTGTGCCAACAAGACTAGGATGGCTATATGACCTATCATTCTCTTCTGACGCAAACTGGGGTTCCATTACCGCATCTCTACCAGTCATCAATCAATTGTCTGGCATGGTCACTCCAGGGTTATCCAATACTACAGTCTATGACACCCTCAAAACAAGCTCTGTAACAGGAAATGCAGCTGTGAATGCAACGACGATAACCTCGCATTGCGGATTGCTTCCCAATGTCACATATTCTTCGAATAATAGCTTTGCCAGCGCACCGTTTAGCATGGATGGTGCAAATTATTCTCTCATCATGGGTGCGAGCCCTCCCTGTGCGTCGTAGTGGTTGTGGTGATGTTCCCAGCTGAGAGATGTCTATAGGGTCAGACCAGATACAAGTTCTTCAATGGACTGGTTATGACGGTTTTTCCGGTCGTCCTCTGGTAAGAAATCTCCAGGATAGTTCTGTGAATGCTCGGAACTGAACGATAGTTGTACAATAGCCTGATGGTATTAATATATGGCCTAGTGTCTTACTGATGGTCTCTACATTATTAGAGATCGAACCTTCAGTACAAGAGACGGTCGCTGTTAATATGACTTGGGAATATAGAAGTGCGTTTTGCTTGTTTGTAATACACCCATGATAATAAAAGTTTCCGCAGATATTTCCTATACCAATAACAATAACAATACCAATATTGACATCATTCCGTATGATATTCAGGTCTATTTTATGCAATGCTCGCTGTTGGCCAACACTACAGAGGGGGTGGTCGACATGCAAACCAACATTTTGCTGACTCCAGTGCCCATCTGGCAGCCATCCACGCAATGGGAAATGTACCAATGGACGAATGTCAGTAGTTGGGCAGCAGAAGTGCGTCACACAGCACTCCTTTTGAGAAGGTTATGGAAAGTTCAATCATCTGTTTATTCCAGATCGGCAACGCTTTGTCTACCCCAGTCAGTAGTGGGTATTCATTTCAAGATGCACATCTACATAACACCGAACCTTCGATTGCGGACGAGTGAAAATGTTACCTTTACTGCACTGTTGCAATGGCTGACCCACGGCTTGACTTGTAGGTTTATTATGTCATTGGTGGGCTTGAACCTCATCGCTGAAAAATCGCAATTCGGAGCCAATGCTCCTCCTATTCCTACTTTTGTTTTGAGACCGGACATCCTAGAACTGGCTATTGCGAAAACAACTGCACAACTCATTTGGACAGGTAAGATACCACTTTTGGTTTGACTTCCTCAGTCATTGCCCTGTTCTTGCTCATTCTGTGCCACGTGCTCAGCGGCACGATTCAGCCCATCCAATGGAGGATTTCAGCCTGGCAACGGGATGGCCAATGTCGACGAGGAGTATATTGCCCTCCGCCTCAATGTCAGTTTGAACTGCACAGAACCTATTTTCAATTGACTGACGAAACATGTTGTAGATCAACCTTCTTCCTGTGAGTCCCGGGCCGTGGTGGTATCTACGCAATATCAATTTATTGAAGATCATTCTAGTTGTGTTTTGCGTCATCTGCATCGGTGATCATGTTAGGACTAGCGTTACACATGACAAGAGCATTCGATGCATCGCACAATTGTCAGGCTGTCATCCCAAATATAGGTCCACTTCAACTCATGTGGTTGGGTCATCGTTCAGCCTCTATCAATGAAGCCCTGGAAGATGTGGAGCGCCCGACAGAGGCCAATCTGCGCCGAGCAGGAATGATAGATGTTTGTTTTGCAAAGACGATATCCGGCGAACAAGAATTTGGGAGTTCAACTGATAGTCTCGCTAGTGAAGTTGACCACGGTCATGACGATGAGATTTGATTCATCAGTTGGGTTTCAGTATATTGGCGGCGGTAACTTTTGGACGGTTCTTTTATGTAGTATACTACTACGGCTATGAATTAACAGATTGTCTTGAAATCTTGAGCGAGTCGAAGAGTTGATGCAACCGCCAACGATGTGTAATAGGAAACCAGGGGGTGTAGCACTATAGACGGGTTCAACGGACCAACATACATCACAAGTGTCACAACTTGCACTCTCATATATATCTTCGCAACAAAGCAGCATCTGACATGCTGAGGCTCGCGCGCGCACGCTGGACAGCTACGATACCTCAAATCCATTCCAGCACTTCCGAGTCTTCCCCTTCTGAGCAGGCGCGAAAGGTAGAATCCCATCCTGCTCGCGATGGTATTCCTACTATAGCCCCATCGATGAATGTCAGGCGTTTTGAATGGCCCTCTGATGCGTTTTAGCGTTAAAATCGACAAAGCGTATGGAGGGTAAACAGGGACGGAATTGGAATCGGACACCATTAGTGTTTCTAGGGAGACGTTTATCATCCCTGCGCGTTGGTGGCTATGTCAGGGCAGCCGTCGGTGTTGGGTGGGCTGTGCATCCGGCGTGGACGAGACGTCTGGCTACTATTGCAGAGCCCATTGCTCCTGCCGAAATAATGGTGATGATTGTGGGGGTGGTGGGGTTGGATTAGGACCACTGAGTTGTTAACGGATTCATGTACTCTGGATAAATAATGGTGTTCCCCCTGGAGGGCTTCTCAGATTCATCGCGTACTAACCTCCTGTTGGTGTGCTGGACAGAAGACCGGGAAGGCTACACAGAGTCATCCTTAGTGTCATCCATACATGATCAAAGTAGCCTCGATAGACTCAACGTTCAGAGCCATTCCAAGAGGAGTGGAGTGTTTGAATTTGAAGGCCTTCAGCAAGGGTTGCACAAGACGCCTATATCAACACTTATATAGCGTCGTACGCATCAGGATTCAGGACCGTAAGTATATGGGGGATTCGTCAGAGCAACGTCAGAGCAAGGGTTGTACTTTTGGGACCTTGGGAATTTTGGCCCGGGTCTTGCCAGGTTTGTGCTCAATCTTGCCCCCGCGGCCCTAAGCGGCCAATTTGAACCGCTTGCCCTGCAAGAAATCTCAAAGTCCGTGCCACCGTGCCGTACTAGTCCGTCTGTCCGTTCGTGTTCTTTGGCCGTTCAATGTTCAACGTTGAGATCGAGATTCTTATTCGAGAAATCGAATTCACTCGCAAAGCAGGACTGAGTATGTGAAATTCTGAATCTGGCAGGAGGACACAACTTATCAATTCCGTTACGGCTCCAGTCAAACTGCATATACATGTGAGGTTTGTCAATCATCACTGGCAGCGCCCCACACAGCACTCCTCCATCAAGGACTTAGTACTATCTTTCATTTTGTAGGTCAATACTCAGCCACGAGGCACCAGTCATCGACGTGATAGTTGGACAGCCTATGACCGAGGCAACGCCGTCAGTCATGGTGTGGTACTAGTACGGATCTGCAGTTTCTTCTCCATGATAAAATATTGATTATGTATCCATAGACGACGAGGCTGAGCAGAAATTTCAATTGCAAGGCTTTTAGATATATGGAAGCTTTAGAATCTTCAAGTTGATCGTTCATTGCTGGTACCGTACTATCCCGACGTCTTTACCCACCTGCATCACTGATACTATGTCAACAAGTCCCTTGTTCACAGTCACAAATGGCGGGCATCTTGCTGTTAAGCAGCGTCCAAGGACTGGGTTCTGCGGTATGTTATCATGTCAACTAATTCACTGCTCGTTGTTGCGTGCCATTCTCCCACCTGCTTGGCTGGGCGTGCGATGGGCGTGCGATATGCCATGAATATTGGAGTTGATGCCGATCAATGTTCGACCGCGTGTTGGCATACATACTCGTTCGCACTGCCGCACAAACAACATTTCCTATGTCTTCGTACGGGGAGATGAGACCGAGCAGTTTCTTTCAGATATATGAAGTTGATCACTCATTCTTGGTACCATAACTAGCTCGCCACCTTCGTCGCTAATACCTAATGTCACTAGATCCCTTCGAAAGGGAGTTGATTTCAGCCACAAATGACAAGCATTCCGCTGTTCAGCGGCCAAGGACTTGGTTCGGTAAGTTATCATACTAATTGATTCCCTGTTGTTGTATGTTAATGGCTACACGTCACTGCATCAGCGTCCTGGAGGTCTCGCTCGAAGAACTGCTCGGAGAACCACTCGAAGAATGCAAACGACGGATCATTCTCTGCACGCGCATGTTACATGCTGCATGGCATGCTGGTCATCATACATATCATCCTTGTTATCTTTTATGTCCGTCACTGGGAACACCGTGTGATTGTCTCAATCACATCAACAAACAATGATTTCTGGCCTGTGCTGCTGAGTGCTTCACTGCAAGCATTCTATACTGTACGTGTCCACTATTATCTTAATAATACACCACTGACAGGATTTGATCCAGATCTACACGGCTGTCTTACTCTTCCTTACTCAACGGCTTGCGATTTCGAGAACACTTGTATGCCGTCTGAAATTAACTGCGATTCACGACATTTCTAGCGCATGGGCGGGCCTCGGCTCTGCACTCAGCAGCGTCTGGCGACAATCTGACATCCCTGCCTCGTTGTGGACGACTGCTGGCGTAACAGCCTACCTTACGAGCATGTCCGTGCTGCATGTCACCTCTTCCACTCTCCTACAATTCCAACCGTTCAATGCTTCTATGGCGACTTCTGTGCCAACAACACTAGGATGGCTATATGACCTGTCAATATATTCTGACGTAAACTGGGGTTCCATTACCGCATCTCTACCAGTCATCAATCAATTGTCTGGCATGGTCACTCCAGGGTTATCCAATACTACAGTCTACGACACGCTCAAAACAAGCTCCATAACCGGAAATGCAACTGTGAATGCAACGACGATAACCTCGCATTGCGGATTGCTTTCCAATGTCACATACAATGCTGATGCGAGCATGGCCTACGTATCGTTTAGCGCGAATGGTGAAAACTCTTATAATGGATGCGAGTGTTCCCTGTACGTCGTCGTGGCTGGTGTGATGTTTTCAGCTGATAAATGTCTACAGGGTCAGACCAGATACAAATTCTACCGTGGAGTATTTTTGATTATTCCACTCCTTCCGCGGTAAGCATTCTCCGAGATAAGTTCCGTGGACGCTCGGAACTGAACAATGGTTGTATGGCAATAGCTTGATGTAAATGCTATACAGCCTACTGTCTCACTCATGGTCTCTGCATTATTAGAGATCGAGCCCTCAGTACAAGAGGCGGTTGCTGTAAACATGTCTTGGGAATATTACAGTGCGTTTTGCTTGTTTGTAATGCACGCATGATAATAAAAGTTTCCGCAGACTATACTTATACCAATACCAATACCAGTATTGATGTCATTCCGTACGAGATTCAGGTCTATTTTATGCAATGCTCGCTGTTAGCCAACACTACAGAGGGGGTGGTCGACATACAAACCAACAATTTACTGAATCCAGCGCCCATCTGGCAGCCATCCACGCAATGGGAGATATATCAGTGGACGAATGTTAGTGATTGGGCAACAGCAGTGCGTTACACAACACTCATTTTTAAAGGTTATGGAAAGTTCAATGATCCACTGTTTATTCCAGATTGGCCTCGCTTTGCCTACCCCTGTCAGTAGCGGGTATCCATTTGGAGATCCATTGCTACATCCCACCCAACCCTCTATTGCGGATGAGTGAAAATGTTACCTTGACTGCACCGTTTCAGTGGCTCACCCACGGTTTGACTTCTAGGTATATTATGTCATTGGTGGGCTTGAATCTCACCGCTGAGGAATTACAAAACGGAAGATCGGTTCCTCCTAATGCCACTTTCGTTTTGAGACCGGATATATTAGAACTGGCTGTTGCGAAAGCAGCTGCACAACTTATTTGGATAGGTAAGATATCACTTTTGGTCTGACTTCCTCAATCATTGCCCTGTTCTTACTCATTCTGTGTCACTTGCTCAGCGGGACGATTCAGCCCATCCAATGGAGGACTTCAGCCTGGCAACGGGATGGCCTATGTCGATGAGGTGTTTATTGCCCTCCGCCTCAATGTCAGTTTGAACTGCACGGAACCTATCTTCAATTGACTGACGAAACATATTTTAGATCAACCTTCTTCCTGTGAGCCCGTGATAGTATCTACGCAATATCAATTTATTGAAGATCATTCTAGTTGTGTTTTGCGGCATCTGCATCGGTGATCATGTTAGGACTGGCGCTACTCATGACACGAGCATCCGATGCATCACACGACAGTCAGGCTGCCATCCCAGATATAGGCGTACTGCAACTCTTGTGGTTGGGTCATCGTTCAGCCTCTATCAATGAAGTCCTGGAAGATGTGGAGCATCCAACAGAGGCCAATCTGCGCCGAGCAGGCATGGTAGATGTTTGTTTTGCAAAGACGATATCCGACGAACAAGAATTTGGGAGTTCAACTGATAGTCTCACTAGTGAAGCTGACCACGGTCATGACGATGAGATGTGATTTATCATTTGGGTTTGAGTATATTGGCGGCGGTAACTTTTGGACGGTTCTTTTATGTACTACTACGGCTATGAATTGAAGGACTGTCTTGAAATCTTGAGCGAGTCGAAGAGTTGATGCAACCGCCAACGATGTGTAATAGGAAACCTGGGCGTCTAGCACTATAGACGGGTTCAACGGACCAACATACATCACAAGTTTCACAACTTGCACTCTCATATATATCTTCGCAACAAAGCAGCATCTGACATGCAGCACTTCCGAGTCTTCCTCTTCTGAGCAGGCGCGAAAGGTAGAATCCTATCCTGCTCGCGATGGTATTCCTACTGTACCCCCATCAATGAATGTCAGGCGTTTTGAATGGCCCTCCGATGCGTTTAGCGTTACAATTGACAAAAGCGTATGGAGGGTAAACAGGGACGGAATTAGAATCGGACACCAGTCCACTGGTGTTTCTAGGGAGACATTTATCATCCCTGTGCGTTGGGTGGCTACGTCAGGGCAGCCGTCGGTGTTGGGTGGGCTGTGCATCCGCCGTGGACGAGACGTCTGGCTACTATTGCAGAGCCCATTGCTCCTGTCGAGATAATGGTGATGATTGTGGGGGTGGTGGGGTTGGATTAGGACCACTGAGTTGTTAACGTATTCGTGTACTCTGGATAAATAATGGAATTCCCGGACAGAAGACCGGGAAGGCTACACAGAGTTGTCCTTAGTGTCAACCACACATGATCGAAGTAGCCTCGATAGACTCAACGTCCAGAGCCATTCCAAGAGTAGAGTGCCTGAATTTGAAGGGCTTCAGCAAGGGTTGCACAAGACGCCTATAGGCTATATCAACACTTAGCATCGTACAGATCAGGAAGTGCGGACGGTCTACCTGGTTGATGCCGATGACATGAAGCCCGATTCAGTCACACTCAACCACACTTGAAAGTTGAGCTACCTCACCCGGTCCACCGTATTCGCGCAATCATGGATCGATAGTGGTTAGGCTCGAGTAAATTGCCGCGCCACTAACCGAGTCATGCAGCACGCACGACTTGATCTTCTTTCTCGACTCCTACAGAACTTCACGATGATGAGTCATATGTACTGATCTCGTGTACAATAGTTCCACGTCGAGGTTCGCCGTTCGGATGAATAAGTGTGTTTCATAAAAATTCACGGTTCGACTGTATATAGTCGAGCAGACAAGGTCATGCATCATGTTGGTTTGCAGAGATGAGAAATAGGTTATAATGTTCTTGAATCAGTATACAGTTTCAGACGTCCCAAATTCAGCGACGTACGGGATTAGGACTTAGGATTGTTTCCTTGAGTTATATTGGAGTTCGTCGATGATAACATGGAAAAACTGGTGTCGTTTCGTTGTTGGCCAACATCACCCATACCCTCGCAGTCATCCACCAACCACTAGTGTCCCGCGTATTGGCGGACCTGACGTACGTCAAGCAAAAAAAAATTTGTTGGGTCAATTGGACTCACGAGTCGACACTGCCTCCGTCTCATCAACTCTTCTTCGATTTCCTGAAGTACGTCTGCAAGGAGATCCGACTTTGGAAGTTCTTCGAGCACGGGAGGCACGCTATCCGGAACCCATGGTTTCTTCCTTTCCTTCCCTTTATCTCCACGATTGGTTCGTACTATGCCATGTACCTTTTCAAGGGCAGTCCATGCATCTTCGTCGTCAACGTCAACCACTTGCCTCTCGAAAATCGACGCCTTGGGTTTTGGAGCAGTAAGGACATGACGCTGTCGTTTCGCGGTGTTGAAAATAATGTTGCCCGCATCAGTGGGCATCCAAGGGGGTTGGTGTTTATTAGCTGCACCCGTAGCAGTTGTCGTATTTGAGGCTGCGAGAGACTCAAGGTAGGCGTGGAAAGCGAGGGCATCGTAGGGCAGCAGGTACCTTGATAGAAGGCCCAGGTCAGTGTCGGTTCAAAATGGACAACAGACGATAGCGACAGATGGTAAACACGAATATAAAATGAAAACAAGAACAATGATGATGAAAACATACGTTAATAGACGTCTGAGAGTTGCGAGGTCACTCACAAGTTGCTTCGTCCGTGGACCGACCTTGTGCCATACGGGGTCTAGTTGCCTGGGGACTACTGCATCAAAGAAACGGAAATATGCGGACTCTACATTAAGATCATCAAGCTCAAGCTGCGAGATAACGAATAATAATTTGTTCAGGTGCAAAAAAAAATGCCAGTTCAAAGACACTTACTGTCTTGTTAGATCTCTTGAGCTCGGAAAGGGTGACGTTCATACATTGGAGCATCGCATGAATTGCCTCCGTAGGCACTGTAAAATGCTGATACAACTACAACTCAACGACATCCGCTTAATGGGTTTCAAGCGCGTTTATGACGTCTTCGTGAAATCTAGAGCCATAACGGATGAGAAATTACGGTAACATGAGCACTAGAACGCGAACAACACGAATATCAGCGAGGAAGGGTCCTACCTATTGAATGTGGAGGGGAGGGGGGTGGGTGGGCTCCCCAGCTGGCCTTGGGGCAAACGGCCAAACCAGGTGCTGTGGGGAGCCCAAGAGCCCAAGGAGGAAGTCAAAGGGGTCAACATCACTCCCCAGCTGGCCTTGGGGCAAATGGCCAAACCAGGCGCTGTGGGGAGGACCTTGTTTTAAAGAAGAAAGGGAGGGCCTGTAGGCGGTAGGATGGGTTGCTGATTTGTCAGCAAGGTCACACGTTATGGTGTTTTACCAGCGCCAAAATTGTGTATTCATTTACATTTCATATTGGATACTAGACGGTGCGGCCAAGTGACCATAAAACTACTTATATTGCTAGCAACTATTTATCATTTAGCTATAGCCAAAGAGGGACTGGGAGGAGCTCATTCAGACCTCATGAGCTTCAAGAGAACAACAACCTTTGCGTTTACAAGGGATTGGTATAGGAGGGCAAGGCGTTGTAGTCAGCTTGGCATCAATGAACTTTGAGGGGTGGTCAAGTTTAAAGTGTCGGTTGACATGGTCAACCGCGTTATTTACTTTGAGAGCTCCACAGCCGTTGGGGCAATACAACTGAAGTGAAGGTGAGCTTATCTCAGAGGTATGAAAAATAAAGCTACCAACGTGCTTCTTTGCATGAGAGATGAAGTCGTCACTGTCTTTCAGCTTCTGACCGCAGGTATGACAGTTGTGGTTAGGCCCAGTCAAAAATTTTCCAGACAACCCAGATGACGGCCGCTGAACCTGCGCGGTAGGACCAGGAGAGGGCGATCGCCTACCGCTGGGGTAGCGCATGGTGTGATCAAGAGGTGAAGGCTGAGAATCTGATGACGGAGGTCTGGCAGGGGTTGGGGATAGGGACCTTGTGTTGGTAGAAGGAGAGCTTGGGGGTCTGGTTTGCACAGACGCCTAAAGGTGTGTCAGTTGGAGGGATCAAGCTTTCTAAAAGGCATACCCTGGATGTCAAAGAGTGGCGCATGCTGGTGATGCGCCCTCTGGTGGCTGAGGCGGACCTTTCAGAGCCCACAGGCGAAGCCTATGAAGCATCAGCATCCTGCAGCCAAAAGCTAAAGTTACTTACACTCGGGCTACTACTCCTACTCCCTCTCAAAGCAGCAGCATATCCAAGAATCATAGGGTTGCAAGCTTGGTAGGAAGGCTAGAAAGCTGTGAGCAGCGACCAATAGAATCAAAAAAAAAACAAAAAAAAAATCACCTCCTTCTGTGCCACTAAGGTGACGTCAACATACTCCCCAGGAGGGCCTTTAGTGTACTCCACAAAGTCCTCCCAACTCGCTTGGTTCCAGATCCCAGCATGGCTGAAGTGACCTCCAGCCTCTTCTGGAAGAGTGCTTTTCCCAGGGACGCCCTGCAGCTTGAAGCCGCACACTGCAACCCCAAAAGCAACGGTGCACAGTCGTATCAGTGACTCAAAGGAGTCAAGAAGACACCCTCCTGCGGCTCTTGTTTGATCCATTGGATCATTGACAGTTACCCGCTTAAAAATTCTATCCTTCTGGTAAGCCATGTGGTGTGGATGCACTGCTGGCACAGGGATCTAAAAGCACAATGAGTTCAACAAGCTGATCGGACTTTATAAATTTCAAGGACATCCAAAAAATGTAATTTTCCGGGTCCACCCGGCTGGGACGGAGTGCAAAAAAATCCTGGGGCATGGATGGATAAGCAGCCATATGCATGCTCTGAATGACTGAATCCTATGGAAAGGGGTGATCAGCTTCTTGCTAAGCGCGTTTGTTTGGCTTTCACCTGTCAGACCCCCAATCACTCGCAGAAGGTAGAGTATTTATATATATATATATTGGAAATCAATGGCAGGCATAGTAAATTTACGGTTTAACAACGCTCGCTCCTCTTTGCGGTTACCAGTACCTTCCAATCGAGACTGTCGCAAATGCTGATTACCCTGTGATTTAGTGAAATGTGTGCAGCCATCTAATGTTGATTCCCAGTGAAAACCCAACATGATGGGATCGGGCGCCAGCAGACGACATCTGGAAATTTTTTCTTGACTAGGCAATTTCCCGAGCAAAGCAGAATCCACTCGAGTCCATCCCATATATTGCATGATGGGGCAGGATGATATAGGATTTTCACCGTAATTACATATGTCTCCCGATTCAATCATATTTATAATAGTTAAATGAATGGGATGTATTGTGACGACAGTGGTGTGACCGTGTGGGTCTGATTTTCGTCGTCGTTTACATATTTCACGCGATTTAATCATATTTATCAAATAAAATGTATGGTGACGAGAGCGGACAGCATAGGATGACATAGGATGTAACAGTGCAGTCGGGAATTACTGTAAATAGCAGGGCGGGGGCGAAAACGCACGAAAACGGGGGGGAACATGCAGGCAGGCAATGAAAAAGACAGATAACAGAAGGAAAAACATACTAGTATAGTACACCATCGCAAACGACACAATCAGAACCCTTGGTCCACGTCCCTGCGCTCTGCAATCGCTCTGCGTCGGCCTTGTACTCATCCTGCTGTGCGGTTGCGAGCGCTGCCCAATACACGTGGAATTCTTCGGTTGTTCCACTCGTATCATTGACCTGCTTCAGCCAACGCCACGCGCATAAGTTTCTGCGTGACAAAGGTTAGTGCGAAACATTAAGATATAGGCAAACTAATACTTACCAAGCGTTCTTCGCGGCACCCGGCCACATCTTCTTCTTTCCCTCGGTTTTTACAACTGACTTGGTGTTGTGTTCGTCGTCGTTCGTTTGCTTGATCGGGCTAAGCGCTGGGGCACTGCAGGACTGTCTTGGTGATTCCGAAATGAAATTTGGTGTGGGCTGTGCATATATGCGCCCTAGAACACAATGTGGGAGCCAACAGCATGAAAAAATTGAGCAACTCACACAAGAGCATCTGAGAGAATCCAGAAGGAGTAGACCCTGCAAATGAGTGAGGATCATTGAATAAATCTGGTGAAGCAGCGGTAAAGATAGGGGCACGGGAGCTTGTGATCTGAGTCTACTCGAAAGATTGTACATTTGCGCAAAGAGACAGGATTTTGAAATCATGCAAGTATCGATATCGAGCAGTGGGTCCAGAAGGAAAATCCATGTTGCTGGCGGACATGGTGGTAGCAGAGAGACATCTGTTGGGGATGTGGTGAGTGTGCCTGTCAGACGACTCCGAGGGAGTTGTTCGGTGCACGTGAGCAAACACATCTGGACTTCAACGAAAAATACGCAACGAGAACGACACAGAACGATATACGATAGACAACATTGACGAAAACGACAACGACAGGAATGATACGATGCATGACGAAAACAAGACGATGCACGACGAAAACAATGTGATGCACGACGAAAACGATGCGTGTAACGTGTCTTCATTAGGGGAGCTCAGAGTAGCCCGCTGTCCGCTGTTGCTTTCGCTTTCGCTGTTGTCCGAAACGAATTATTTTCCAGCGGGCGCAAAATAATTCAAATTAAACCGCATATACCAAATCGAGCTCATCGTTTATCACGCCCATCAGTAGTTCATCGTCCAAGCTTGTATATGGCTGGTAAATCCAAGAACCCCAAGATCTCACTACCGGAAATTCCGTGGAGCGAGGATGACCATTCACGAGTGTGGAAACTCATCGCGGAACTCAGTCAAAAAGCTAATTACAAGGTGTTGTTTGGAAAGAAAGACCAACACGAGGTGAGTAATACTAAGCTTTGCTATCAGTGCCATTAACTTCATGAATCCATCAGAATACCTCTGGCGAAACGAAGGCCAGTGTCTACAAGCGGATCGGCGCTGTCGTTTTGCCAGAATTCCACGAGATCGATCCCACGGCGACCGGAGACCGTGTAAAAGGCAAACTTGAGTCGTTGAGTTGCCTAATACCACATTTGTTTAGTTTATACTAATACCAGTCATTTAGCCTTACGAAAACATATAAAAAACATGCTGCGAAGCTTCGGAATCCAGGTCTGCGCAGACTCTAAGTCTGCGTCTGTGACAAAGTCTGGGTGCACGCTCGGCAAGTCTTGGTGCCGAAGCGATACTCTGTGAGTGGTAATCGCCATCGAATCTTGTTCAGCGACTCAGTCAGCAAGAGCATCGAGGAGGGAGCAGTCACTTACATGCGCTATGGTGAGTGGTCTACAAGTTACATCTTTTACAGGATACTATTGCTGAATCCAAATGTCGGCCTTGCTGTAGACACGTGGTGTCCCACATACAGGTTGTACGTTCAGCGCTTCTTTCTGCCGTTTTATGTGCTAGTTGGCGCTTACTGTGCTTCAAGTCGTCGTGATTGATACAACCTCTTGGCCACATCAGTCGACAAGAGATGCTTTATCGCATTGATCTTGTACTAATAGGTGACCAAGTAAATCGGTTTTGGTTGGCTGCGGTACTATCATCACCTGAGGGAGAACCAGCATTTCGTTCCGGTACGCATCATTTGGTCTTTCAGAGGCTGGAAACTACCTTCTCAGCATGCTTGGTTATATTACTTCTCCTCACTACTACAAGTTGGTTCCGCCCACAGATTTTCACGCACAAGTTTGACCACCATGCGGACGCGCAGCTCCACGTGTTGGCTGGCCCATGTACACGCGAGATTCTGCACATCCTTAATCGATACGGTACGACATCTAATCAAGCGATGAAGGGCACTACTCTTTGACGCATTCTCATCGAGCCCACTGATATCAGATGCTTCCCGCATAACACGATACTTACAGCTGTGCTGGGCTCCACGGATTGTGACGAAGATATGATTCCCTCGAATGGGCTAAGGGTCTGTTCGTTGTAACTCAGTGAGTGCCGTCACAGAGGCTCGAACTTTGTTTGCTCAGGATTTGAAGGAACCGAGATATGAGGTCCGAGTGATGCAGGGTACTTACCATAAATGCCGCGTCTGAATCACAAGTATAAAGGTAGGAGATTAATATTTCATGATCATCCGTATACATCCGTACTCACAAATTCATTCAATCTTCCACCATGACTTTAACTGAACCTGGCGTCTATTGGATCGTGAGTCCCGGCACGGGTATGTTCGCTAGTCTCCCCAGGGATGGGGGACTGCTTTGTGCACTTCCCTTTGACTCAAGTGGCTCCTACCGCCAAAAGGCAGGCTGAAAGACGTAATTATTCTCCTGCCGTCCTGAGCGCTCACACTAAGTTTAGTGGCGCCTAACTATATCGAACCTGATGGCAACAACCCTGAGAGGTACTGCGTTCTCACCGAGAAGTTGGAAAATTATTTCATGTTGGGTGTAAATGCCCTTCAATAAGTTGGTGGTCTGCCGTAAGACCGAACTTGCTGCTTAGACACCACTCGTAGGACGAGAATGTCTTGGGCTTGCCAGAGACCTCCCCCAGCGCTGGCTCATCAAGGAAGCTGACACTACCAGCTACATGTGAGAGATGATCATATCTTTGTTTCAACCTTTCGTGCTGACGCTCACGTGTTGCAGTCTCTACCAGCGTGATGATGACAGTGGCGCCGGCATCGAATTGGCTTGGAGCGTCCAACTTGAAGAAACAGGCAAACCGGTGCGTGCAATTCCTTGTTCCTGAAGTGTCTCTGCTTAATCTAGCGCAGATCTATATCTCGTACAAAGGCCAAACACGAGCCCAGTGTTGGGGCTTCGTGCGCGCCCCATAATAAGCATCGGGATACAGATGCCATCGTGTCATGTATTTACCTAGTTTCTGAAATTGGGCAGTTGTTGTACGATTTGTCTATGCGAATGCCAGCATGTCACTGAGCGGTGGCAAAAAAAATTCGATTCGATTTGCATTGGTGGAATTGGATAAGTACTTGATTCCGAGTTCTCGATGATAGTCGTCGATCACAACGATAGGATCTGCAATAATAGGTAAATAGATTATACGACATCTATATATCAATGCTTAAAATGCAGGTATGAAGAACCAGGACTGGGCTCGCGTTTCGCCTTCGTAAGAGATATAGATCTGCGCTGGATTAAGCAGAGACTCTTTAGGAAGGACTTGCACGCACCGGCGGATTGAAGGTCTGTTGGACGCTCCAAACGAACTTAATGCCAGGGTCACCGTCATCGTCACGCCGTAACTGGTAAAGACTGCAATCCGTGAGCTTCAGCACGCCAAGATAAAACAAGGATGATCATCTCTCACATGTACGTGGAAGAGCCAGTTTCCTTGATGACCCAGCGCTGGGGGGAGTCCAAGCCTGAGACATTCTCGCCCTAAAAATGATGTTTAACTCCATAATTTCGATCTTACGGTAGACCACGAACTAGTTGTTGGATATTGACACCTAATGTAAAAGAATCATTTGTAGCCTCAGTGAGAACGCAGTACACCTCAGGGCTGTCGCCATCAGGTTCAATATAGGTCAGGCGCCACTAAACTTAGCGTGAGTGGTCAGGTTGACGGAGGGTACTAAAGTCTTTCAGCTTACCCTCTGGTAGTGGACACTCGAGCCGAGGGAAGCTGCACGAAGCGACCTTTCGCCTATGTGGACACTAGCACAAGCATCCGTTAAAGTGGAACTGATAATCCAATAGACGCCGGGTTCAGGTAAAGTCATGGTGGATGATGCAGAGATTGAATGAATTTGTGAGTTTGAATGATGGGATGATGAAATATTAATCTCCTACCTTTATACCTGTGATTCAGGCCCAGCCTTAATTCAATCACTCCTCCGAATTAAAGCAAGTGGTCCACTCACGTGTCCAATGAGATGTAGTAATTCAAGTTGTGACTGCGACTTCTCGTCATTCTCATAACTAATCTAACCGGAATGGTCGTTCGCCATTGAGTGGCGTACAGGGTGATGACATTTACCTGAACTTTTGCGGGAGAGCAACTGGAAGCGAAAGACTTACCGAAATATGCATGCTGTTGGGTTCATGGTAAGTACCCAGCTGGTTCAGGCTTGTTATGATTCGAACTCGGTTCCTCCAAACAACTCCAAACTCTAAGCAAACAAAGTCTGTAACGGCGATTTGAGCACCCATGCGCATGGTATTCACAACGAAAAGGCCCCACTACTCAACATGATCAGAAGCTCAGATTAATGCGTAGCGATCACCGAGCGGTACAACATATTCTCACTCCCCGTATGATCTCTCGAGTCTCATACCTTCAGCCATCGCCTTGCCCTTCCTTCGTTGATGTCTCTCCTTCGTTGCTGCCAGTGTTTTCATTGATTATTTTTGTGACTCTCGTTGCGCTTCCTGTTGCCGACTCAGCGATGTGGCAGTTGATCTTCGCTCGACTTCCGAAGTAAGCTTCAAGTCTAACTACATACTACTAGAGCCTACGGGCCCAGGAGGCTTGGACTAAGGATGGACAATGCATCGCGCGACAGTCGGGCTGCCATTCCTAAGATAGGCATCATCTGCAACTCTTGCATCAGTGAATTGAGGAGTCCTTGATATTGTACCCGTGTGACCTATAGAGAGATATAAATTTGCTCTTGCTAGGTATGGGTATTTAAAGTGCGAGAAATTTGTGATGTTGCTATATACCTATGTAAGTCTGCGAATCTAGACGACATTTAGTATTTTGTGACGAGGTCACGTCTTCGCAACACCATGGCCGGTAAGAGATGACAGCATAGGTGTGTTCGCCTTGTCGAGCATAGTCGTTTCCGTTATTTAAGTTTTCAATTACAAGGGTATATAAGACTATCTCACGGGCAGCGTTTTTCGCAATGGTCCTCGTATCTGTATTTGCAAGGGAGTTTGCGATAATGTGTCGTTGTTGGGGCATCACAGCCGGTAAGAGATGACAGTATAGGTGTGTTCGCCTTGTCGAGCATTGTCGTTTCCGTTATTTAAGTTTTCAATTGCAAGGGTATATAAGACTATCTCACGGGCAGCGTTTTTCGCAATGGTCCTCATATCTGTATTTGCAAGGGAGTTTGTGATAATATGTCGTTGTTGGGGCATCACAGCCGGGAGGAGATGACAGGGTATCCCAGTAACCCTGGTTGAACCTTCTCATATTCCCCAATTCAAGTTGTACATTATAAGGCAATTTTTCACGGTTTGCTGATGCCAATGTATGGTCTGCAATATGTCCCAACCGCAGACTAACAATTCCGCAACCAGTGCCGCACTTACCAGGGTATTGAATTCCCACAGGCAGACTACTATACGTTCAGCAGATGCCTATCATTAATTAATATTCTTGCTTCCAATCTGAAGTGAAGAACAAAGCCGAGCATTGCACTGGTGATGCATTGATGATTGTGGTTCACATTACTGTAGCGCACAAGATCGCTTGTCGTGAATCAGTCCCATCGTTGAGTGCATAGTATTTGGCTTTGACTCGGAATCATGACATCGAATCTGCATACCATACTGCTTATTGCCGACCAAAGGGGATCGCTTGTAGTACTTACAATAGATACGTGCGGACGATGCAGGAAAGTACAACGTAAACGATGAATGACCCCTTGCATGCTAAAAAAACAACGTGCAGAGCGCCCCCCTGTATTGACTCGGCGGGGTAGTATGGTCATTTGACACGTCTGGACAACATCATGACTCAAGATCCAGGGAGATGACACCTGTGAGGAGTGAGAATGCAGCGATGTAAGAAAGTAGGGAGGCGTACGATTGACCCTTGTCAGATTCAACCCAACACCTCCACATTCCAGGGACATCGAGCATGACCTGTGCGGTATTGCCCATCATGAAAACTCGGACAGCCTGATCTCTTTGACTACGACCCATCGACCCATGAAACCTAAACTGAAAGATTAAATTAATTCAGATAAGCAGGTACGAGGTCATCAGAAGATTCGCACTTGACATGGGGTATCTTCTTCTCCGCAAGGAAGTCGGAGATAAGTTTGAGACGCTCGTCTCCGAAAGATCAAAGAGGAGCGCGAGGCTGCTCAAGCCAAGAGGAAGGCTGAAGCACGAGAGGGAAAACGCAGCAGCGCACAAGCTTACCGTTGTGCATGAGACATTCGGTCCACTGCGAGATTATTATGGTCTGTATATAGCATCAGCACCACGATCGCTGTGGTCGTTGGACTTCAAGCCGCACCTTGTCATCAGGGCTTTGCATAGCCCACTTCCCCAGATGCTCCATCATTTGCTAGGAGACGAAATTCAAAAGGGGATTTCAAAAGAAAACACGACAACCTACATTCATCTTTGTGGAGGGGAGGAAGCGCGACATTGTTTTACCTTGACCTATGGAAGCAAGCACCTTCCTAGGGCTCCGACCTATGACCACTTCTCTCTCGTCTACGGCAACTTGCGTCAGATCATGCCAATGATAAGACGTGGCGACATACCTGGTATACTGCTACCTCCAACTTGAACGACTTGCAAAGACTCGAGGCCAGTGAGTGCTCCAAGCTCGTTGAATAGTGCTGCTGGTACTCCAGGAAAGGTTGATTGGCTGTATGCGGGTGAGTACTGGTCACGGTGCGCGTAATGTGTGGAGCGGACTCACAGATTTGCAACTCTACCGGAGCCATCGCAGGTGACGCCATTCCACATTCATTCACTCACTGCTCTGTAAAGCAGCTTCTTCCCCCTTTGCAACTCCCCGACCCGAATCTCAAATTCCAAAATGACGCGCCACAAAATAGCGCTTCCTGCAGTCCTGAAAATGATGTCAACCCATGACAGCCGGAGCAAAACGATATCACAAACCTTTCGCTCTCTGCAGCCGCAGCAAGTCCGCTCCTCGTCCGTTCGATCTCACTCTGCCATCGCACTTTCTCCCACCCTGGGACCCACACTTCTGCGATACGCCGTGAAATGCTCTTTTCTCTTGGGCCTCCATTGGCTGTGCTTTGTCCGAGTTGAGCCCGTACGCGACCCCAGATACCGTGCCCTTTCTCAGCTTCTAGAAACATGCCCAACACCAGGCTATTGTCCAAGTAAGTGTCGACGGCAATCTGTAGTCGATCCCTCAGGACAGCTGTCGGAGTAGGACGTCGTAGTATGACTGAATGATTGTACAGTAGCATAAGAGATGCAACCATCATGCTCTCTCTCCGACCAGGATTCTCATTAACACTGGCAGCAGGCTGAGAGTCTAAGACCGTGAGTGCCGCATCTTGAGATGAGGAAGTAAGCAGCTCGACAAAGGCTCGTAATTTTATCCAAGCTTCCCGGTCCTTCCACTGCTCGTGAGCGCAGCTAATCGTATCATCGAGGCTGCGTTTTACACGAAGAACTACCATACCACCCGTACCCTCGATCTTGACTGAGCGCTGGATAACACGTAGTGCCGCATTTTCGTTACCACTAAGCCATTCCATCTCAGCCCAATCCCACCATAACTGACCAACGAAAGGCTGGGTGTGTGTGTGCTGAGAGGTTACGGGCACCGTTTGATAGACCTTACGGGCATCATCGACGTGCTCGCGCAAGCGCTCGAGACGTGCGTGGGCTGCCCAGTGCGGTAGGGAATCTCGAGCTGTCGACAAAAAAGTCCGCGAGAGCTTCAGAGCACTGCAACACCAACATAAGTGCTACTGACGCACACATCAATAAATGAACTGCACCTTTTGGTATTGAGGGCTGCCTCAAATGCTAAAGCGTAAATATCCCACTCATAGTCCTCGCTACCGCATCTAAGCTGGCTGAACACGGCTCGTACGAACTCCTTGTCGATCTCTTGCAGATCAGCCGCGGCTCAGGCCGTCGGTTTGACCCAGTTTGGCATGTCCCACGATTTGAAGCCGGGCCGTGCACTGCACTGAGTTTCACTGGCCAAGATCAATCCCCCCAAATCATCATCGATCAACGCACCTACTCATCTAACCATCTTTCAACATGGGCCCCATGGATCCCGTAAGTAACCATCAAGTTGTGTTCATGCATGATCGCTGAAGTGATCATTAGCAATTAGCACGTGCCCCAACTCTTTTGCCACCGAGGGCGCCTGATGTGCGCTACTATGGACGAAGAAGGTCTACTCACGTTGAGGCGGGTCGTTTAGAAGATGCGGTGATGCGAGATGTGACCGGAAGGGTGCGATTGGGGGTTTGGAGGAGGCTCAAGGCGTTTCTCTGTTGTTGCAACGCTGGGCATGACACGGCGTGAGTTTGAGGTCCTGTGTGCTGAATTAAGGCGAGTCCGCTGTGTCTTATCAATGATAGTTTTCTTGTTTACCCTGTATTTTCAGAAGTCAGAGGAGATTATAGCATTCTGCAAGATTGTGCGCGTGTCTGTACGAATTTTAGTGTTAGAGATTGCTCCGAGACCGTGCCGTCGCTCAAACGGACATAATATGGTACAGGTATCTCGTCAACTTGTGTTGCAACCCGGAGGGAAGAATGGACTGGAGGGATCAGACGCAAGGACTCCCGACAAATGTTGTTCAGATATGGCAAGTTCTGCAAGGTGTTGTGTAAAGACTCGATTTCTTCAGGTGACAGTCGCGATATCGGGGTAGTCGGTACGATAGAGAGAGGTTCCGTACGAAGACGAGTCTGCAAGCCTGGATGTCTTGCAAGGAGCAGAAACGTCCACGTCAGAGCGAGAGATGTCGTATCAGACCCTGCGAACATGAAGGTATTGATGTTGTGCAATATATCTTCGTTGGAAATTCGCTGATCTGGTGGGAGGTCTGTCGCAATATTGGATTTCACTAAGAATTTGTCAGCCAACCGACAGAAAGAAATGACAGTTGACTCACGCAACATATGAGGAACCGCTCTTCTCTCCATCCAAAATCCTGGATTTCTCCTGCTGCTCTAGCTTTCCTGCTACGTGGCGAATAGTTTTCTTGGCATCTGTGGACGGTCTTGGCCCTCTTATCGGGCTGCATTGCAAGCTCAGCCAGGATTACATTCATGAGTAAATTGATTTAAACATACGAAAAGGCTATTTCAGGATTGGAAAGTAAATCCCCAGAACTGTCCTAACCCCATCTCCCTGCGAGACAGCAACCTCGGACAATACGCAGCAAAGAGCTCGTCCGACTCGTTCTGTATAGCGTTGAAGTGGTCAAAGCCTGGGGTGATACGTGATGGTCAGGTAAGGATGGATGCACGACCCAACATGAGTTACCTGCTAACCCAATTACGTCGAAGGTCGCTCGGCTGATCCAGTGACAGACGTCTATTCCAAAACGGCCGGAGTTCTGCTTGTCCGAGGCTGCCTGGTCTTCCTTCACTTCCTGAATCGTATCTATCCATTTATCTTTGAGCTCTCTCCTTTGCTAAAGACAAAGAGCACAAGTGCAGCATATTTGAATGGAAAATGCAGGAGTGGCAACGCGCCGTTGACGCTTATGAACATGACCCTCTGCAGCTGGCATACCAAACCAATGAGGCTCGTGATAATTCTTCGAGATTACCACGGTTTTTCGTAGATTATGCTTCTGTAGTACATGTGTGCTACAGAAACATGGGTAAAGGGTGAGAAGGCGTTCGTCCCACTGCATCGAACAGTTGTTCGCGAGTTTCGTGATTTAAAGAAGAGTTACTCACAGGACCAAGCCCTCTTATACGGACGTTCCTGCCATATTTCTCTACATAGGCAGCATGAGTTTTGGATGACCTGAGTGGTCGAGGGTTCGAACGAGTTGGGTAAGGGAGGTCAACCAATGTATGAGTGGGTTGGGGTGAGGCAAGTTGTGCTGGGCGGCGGCTCCTTGGCACCTCTGCAGACGCCGTGACCGACGAGGCCAACTGTAGCGTATGCCCGTTAGAGGGGCGATCGAAGCGTTACCATGATAATCATAAGAGGCTGAGCGTTTCGACGCCGACCTCTTTGACAACATATGCCAGGACGGAGTGAGCGTTGTCGTCGAAGATGTGTAATTGGCTGCAGGGATAATGACCGTAATGTGCTCGAGGAGTCCGATGAATGGTTGATACGTGCTTGACGGTATTCGTGTGTACAAAGATAGTGCCAGGCATGGACGTTGTGACGATGGAGGCCGGCACTCGCGAGTCAGAGCAGCCAATCTGAAGGACCTAAATGACAGTAAGAAAACGTGGCTAACAACGGAGGGGTGTGCGACAAGGCACAAGGCACACCTTGGAGTTCTGCGGCATGGTGGCCGAGTCCTAAAGAAATAGGGATTATCTTTGATTATACTTTGTGCCCACTCCTCGTTGGCGTTGAGGGGGTCCTGTGTGCCGTTGGGCCGAGTCATGATGTGAAGGGTTGAGAGGCGAAGGGCAGGGTGGTGAGTCTTCGTAGATCAGTAAGACTAAGCAACTGACTGAGGATTGAATTGAGGGCCCATGCACTGAGCGTGGAGGTGTTCTAACCTAATGGATAGTTAGCTTGCTTCGGACGTTATGGTTTGCAGTGGTCTTACCGAATGACCGCCGTTCAACCGGGCGGTTATCGGGTAACGGAACGTGCCCGTTGGGCTCATGCGGTGTTGCGACAGGACGTCTACATAGCTTCGGAGCGAGACTTGTCAAGGGGGACGCCAAATTTTGATAGGTTGACAATTCCATATGAGACCTGGCCGTTAGTAACGGATAGGGGATTGAATCGGGGTCCGATGTGCAGTGCCGGTTTGGACGGTGTATATCCTGCGATTGAGAATTATGAGTTTTTCTCTTCATCTGCGAAGACATGGCCGCAATAAGTGACAATTCAGTTACCTCTTCTTCATCGCCACCCCCCATAACCGTCACGGTTACTGCCCGTATCCGCCTCGAGGTTGCCACTGCCTGCTGCACCAACAACATCGCCCAATGGTTCACTCCCCAGGGAGTCCCTAGCCATCCTGCGCATGTTACTGGATACCCTATGCCTAACTGAGTGTGCATAAACATATCCCGATCCACGAATCTGGTTTAAAGGGTGAGAAGCGCCATTACAAGAGCCAATGGCTGCACTCACATCCCAACATTGTGTGCCTCCCAGTCGTCCAGCTCTCCTTCAAAGCGTGCCCTCGGTGGAGCCAGCCACCTAACCCAGGTGATGCTTCACAGGTTGCCCCTATCGCCGGCCCAAATTTCCGCATGGCATATAGCCAGCGCGCAGGCCCAATACCGGTGAGTGTCATACCCCCCCTTAAGAACTTTGCCAGCATGACGTCATTGACAAGGGCGGCGACCTTCGTTTCCGATACCCGGCTGCTGCTCTCCCTTAAGAACTTTGTCAGCATGACGTCATTGACAAGGGCGGCGACCTTCGTTTCCGATACCCGGCTGCTAGTTCATTCCAGAACACGTCATGGGCTGTCATGAGTTGCTTCATGCATTCCTCCATCAATCGCAAATTCATGCTGACTCAGAACTGTCCAATCAATCTGCACCCATCATATTAGAAAACGGGTAAAAGGTGGAGGGAGGGGGAGGACCTGCGGCAGAGTACGGTCTCTTCTTCAGCCACCCGCAACACATGGCGCCTGTGATCCTGTTTGGCCAACTGCGCGGGCCCCTAGGAAGGGCATGGAATCCTCGCCAGTGGGTAGATAGAGCCTCCCAAATGCCCAGTTCACACTCATGGATGATGTCAACAACCAGCATACGCAATAGATCGAGTCCAAGCGATCCTGCGAACGCCGATTTGAGCTAATCGTGACCAGGACGGAACCGATCGCACTTGGTGAGCTTGAACTCTGAGAAAACTAGATAGAGATGATGACGATTAGTTAAATGCTGACCATAAATGAGTAGCTGCAAACCACGCACGGCCATATTGAATCTTTGACCTCGTCTAGAGATATGAAGCTGATACTTTCTTCTTTTCCTGCTGCGTTATATTGCGGAGCCAGCCCGTTATTGTCACGGGGTTCATAATCGCCTGCCTCTTTGCCCAAGGGATGGCGAGTTGTTCGGTCGCACTAAAATCCTTCAGCAGCCTTTTCACGACGTTGGTACTGCCAGCCTCAGCTGAACACCTTTCGACCTCGTTTGGGGATTTTAAACTGGTAGATGCCAACGACACAGACCCAGAATGCCTTGAACTAGTACTGGCGTCGTGGGCGCTGGCATTGCGTGGATATGGATGGATGCAATGTGATGTGATACGCCGGCGGGGATTGCAGCCGATCGCCTTCTGGTGCACCTCGTGGGTCCTCGGGGTCATAATGAAGGGTGCATTAGCCTGAGTAAGCTTGAGCTCGAAGGAAGAGAAAGATAATGATCATGAGGTGTAAACCACAACGTAAGACCTATGCACGTCGGATTTGTGACAAATTGCGAAGATTCGGTAGGTTAAACGGCGAAGCTGAGAAGCTGGACTTCGCCAAATGCAAAATTACTGAATCTTGGCTATGATAGGGGGAAGTGTTTCAGGGATCAATGGAGTCAGTTAAAAATTAGGGCACGGACGTTTAAGGAACTCACTTGAAGCGCCGTCGACGGTGATTAAGTACCTTGCTCGCGAGCAAATCTCGAATATTTACGAGACTCGCCACCACGATATAGTGAGCTCGCTGATCAGCGCGACTCGATATATGATGATCTCTTGGATCTCTGAGTCATCTCCAATAAAGTTCGTCTGGTGGAAATTTCTCTCGACTCTATTATTCAATAGGAAGCTGCAAATTAACAATTCATTGACTCACTGACTGTGTAAGGCGCTAGAACAGCCCCTCAATGAGATTTTACAGTCACGATCATCAGCGTAGTTTGATTCGTGATTGATGGAGGAATGATAGCCA